ACAACCTGCAAAAACCTTATGTTCTTTTGTCTTTAAAACATGCATAAAGCATTCCTGGCCTGGACCTCCAGTTTCACAGGATTATGACGTACTGTGGTGCAGTCTGACTTTGATTGTACTTGTGGTGCAGTCTGACTTTGATTGTACTTTAAGGCTTGTTGTCAATTTAAAGGTGGAAAAGGGTCAGGCTGTGGTCAGTCCAATCTACGGTTGGGTCTGCATTGATGGCACTGAAAGCCTGGGGTTAGGCTCAGGATGTATGCTCTATTTTTATTTGTTTTTATTGTCTCCTAGTCGATGCTTATACAATTACTACATATATTTGTGTCCTTGGATTGAATTTTAGTAGTTTGCTTTCTGCTCGGACTTCTATCTTTATGAAGGTCATTCGAAGTTCAAACAGTGGAAATGATTTTATTTGTGCACCTTCAAGCCTTAAGTAATGCCAGGAAGTTTTACGTGCTGATCCAGCCCATTTTCTGTTTGACCTGAAAACTGGGCCTAAGACTGGAAGCATTACTTAGTATCCCGGAGTAGATAAGAGCTGGCCTTATCACTGGAATTCCCATGCCAGTTTCAAACAAATTGCTAGATCTGAAAATGATCATTGTTCAATCTAAAGCCATTGTTCTGTGACTCAAAACATTATGGAATTGATACTCAGCTCACTATTTAAAAGGCTCCAGATATTGTCCAAATTCTGTCTGATTGTTCCTATCTCAAACTTGAGTCATGCCATATTTTGTGGAACATCAGACTTAGCAACTCTATTAAAAAACTACGTTTCCTTACCAAAAAAAAAAAACTTTTTCAAGGAAAACAATCTTCATGCACATAACTTCATTTAAGACACCAGACAGGTAACAAAAGAAAAACACATACTTATACCTTAAGCATAGCATTTCCGATGTCCTTTCACATACTTTATTTTTCAGTTATATTTGAGGTTATTTTACATATTATATCTTTTGGTTATTTTTAAATTTTCATTTATTTAATTTTTAGTGGTACTTATTTGTTAACCATGTGCATATGTGATGGCATTCAAACCTCTTTTACTGGCATCTACGTAAAAAGTGACTGTGGACATCTATTTACCTATTATTTACCAGTGCGTTCTTATTTTTATGATACTTCCTTTTGATATGTTTTTAGTTCATATTTCAAATCTTATGCATTATTTCATGACTATTTTGAGTAGTCTTGAAACATTTCTTATAGAATAAAACTTGTTTCACCTCAGTGGTGATCGGTTCCCTTCCCTGATCTCAGTGAGGCAAGGAACCCACAACGAAGTATGTTCCCATTGTCATAACTCAAGATTAGCAGAGAAATAGTAGAATGATGGGCCAAATTTTGATCATAGTAGCTCTAGACTTCACATGAAGTTATATATTAGAATGATGGCCCTTAAAATGGGCTACAAATAGTTTTGCTTTTTTCTCTGCAGATTTGTACTTTATTCTAAACACTGATGTCTTGATCACCTGTGCCGTGCCAACTTGCATCAATGTGCAAGATCCTTCCATTCTTTTGTTAATTTTTGCTTAACTAGTTCAACAATCATTTGTGAGATGATTTATCTTTCCTTTTATGTTGAAAAGAAATCCATTTAAATTAAATTGGCGTCTTAGTTTATAGAGACCTATATTATTATATTTCTCTCTTTTCTTGGTATGTGTGATGAATAGCACTATCTGAAACTATCTATATATTGACCGGAGTTGTTGAAATGAAATAGTTGTTTCAATACTAACCTGATCGCTTTTGTTTTTCTAATTCTGTTTTCTGTATCTTGGCATTTGACAAACATTTGCATTATCTATCTTCTCATCGCCTTTTCCAAATTGTAACTTCATTTTTATTTACATTTGCATGGTTAATTATTCCATATAGCTTTATCTTGATCACTTTTCCCGATTCTACAGTCTTCTTAACCACTTCAGTTCTCTTGCTTTACTTCACAGATTTTGTGTTTGAGCTGTTTGTCTTAGGTGCTTGGGATTTCTTTACCGCCTGATATTGACTGCACACTATCTATGTTTTAAGTCCTAATTTAAAATCTTACAAATTTTTGCATTGCCCTCAGAATCTGAGGCATTTTTTATGTTATGAATTTAATACATGAAAGGCATGAAAGGTGAGAAATACTTTGGTTCAGCTGTGATCTGACATTAATTTCAATGTATTGCCATCATTATAAGCATCCATAGGCTGGTACGTTTTATTGATATATTTTTGAGAAACTAACAAGCATCTGCTCATGCTTAATTATGCTCCCTAACCACTTTTTATCTACTAACACTATCCCAATTTGGCCAGTATGGCGCCAATTAAAAACTAATTTTTTCATCGATAAGATATCACATTTGTAAATGTTAATCTTGGTTTTAGACTTTTAGTACAATGAGTTTCACTTAGTCTAATGCAGTGATTGAACCTTAAATTGCTACTGGTATTATTAGTATGGTACTGATATGGTTACAAAGATTTTGATTGCCTCAATCAGCTGCAGCAGCATAAAATGTGGTGTCTATATAGGTAAGCTCACGGAGGATTGATGATGTCTCACCCTGCAAAGAGCAACTTATGATTATGTTTCTTAGTGCCTGCCTGCAATTCTGATGAATGATCCCTCATAGAACCATATACAACATGAATGCATGAATTCTGTCTGTAGATTTTTTTTTTCGCTGCAACACCATGCATCTTAGGCAATAAACAGGTTTACTTTCGTATTGAGACAAGCTTTTTGTATCTTTGCTCTTTACTACTATGAAACTTAAACAGGTTTACTTTCGTATTGAGACAAGCTTTTTGTATCTTTGCTGTTTACTACTCTGAAACTTTATTCATCCTTTGTCTTTAAACATTTCAGATAAGTAAGACGCAACGTGAGGCGATAAAAAATCTAAAACATTCTGGTGATGGAATTCACTCAAAGTCCCTCAGTCGTGTCCTTGGTGATATCAACAGCTTTCATGTGCATCCATACGAAGCACTTTTAGGGGAGGAAAAGAAGAGGTTACATGAGCATTGGTTAGTATTGATTTTCTTCCTATTGATTAGATCTTGTTAACTTCGTTATTTAATATTTATTAGTACTCCAAGTGCAGGTTGCAAGTAGTTACTAGAGATATGCCTGTGGCATTTGAGGAACGTAAAGAAAAGAAACTGCAAAGGGAACAGCTAATGAAATGCTTGGAGCAAGAGCTTATTGAAAAAAGAGCAGCGATAACTGATGAGGTTTGTTTATGCTTCCATCTAAAATTGAAGGTCACCATCATGCGGAACTTGGTATATATTTTCTTATGGCATGATGTTGGTCTGATTCAAAATGTTTTTGACTGAAATATGTTCTTATCATTCTTGTTCACCATTGAGGTGTGGTTTATGTGTAGCATTACTTAAGGGTGAACTTTCACAAAACCCCCCAAAACTTTGGGCCTTTCCCGCAAACACCTGCCTGAGCTTTTGTTTATTCCACTAAAACCCAAAAACTTTTTTCCACAAAATCTTGGGATTACTCTCATGTGAGTCTTAACACTTGATGATGATCTCACAGTCAGTCTTGGGCATGTGAAAAGGCCTTCAGCATGACGATGACTCACATGGAAAGGCAGAATAAGTTGGGGAATGAATAAACATGAATCAAAACATCTTTGATGATGTTTAAACCTAGGTCCTTTTGAAACTTGCTGCTATTGTACAATTTAGACGGCCAACTTTTGCAAAAGTTTAAGTTGATGGGCTATAGAACACCAACTAGTATCAACAATCTAACATTTGAAGATCGTTTAGAATTTCTACAAGGTTTAATGCTGGCAAATATGGAGGCTTTGTCTTTTAATTATAACTTGAGCTATTTTTTTCCTTAGTCTTTCCACAGGATGACTCCCAATTTTACTCTTAACAGAACTATTTAGCTAGCCTTTTCTATGTTCTTCCTCATGGTTTTAGCTATTTTCTTGTGTTTTACCATTCTTTTCCCATTCTCCATAGTCAATTACTGAACCTTTTCTATGCTTCTATCAGGCTGAGACAGACAAGCAAGAGATCTCAGCTGAAGAAGAGACAGAAAATGGTGAATCTGATGCAGATAAAGATATACTTGCTGAAGAAAATGTCGTCTCTGCTTCTACTAACTCCGACCATGGTCATAAGACTCATAACTTAGAGCGCATTCCCTCTCTCAACAGCCATCAAGAACTGAGCCCTGTGGCTTTAGAAAACGAAGCAGCTGGCGAAGATGTACTAATCCTCGAAAATGATTCTTCAGTAATCTCACGGTTCAATGAGAAAGAAAATAATGCGGAGGTTCTTCTTGAGACAGAGACAATATCCTCACCAGTTAAAGAGCTGTGGCAAACTGTTGAGCCTATTGAGGAAAACCAAGCTCCCCTTATCGACTTAGAAAGAAATAATGAGCATGAAGCTGGAGTATCCAATTCCCCCTTGTTTCCTTTGTATGCTAACCTAAACCAAGATCATTTTCTTCCATCATTTACAAAGGTCCCTGAGATTTTGTCACCGTATCCTAATGAGCAAATAAACCAATTAAAACAATCAGAGATGCAGTTATTGATGGCAAACCAAGGTTTTCCTCGACAATTTCAGGAGCAACAGAATATAATTGAGCAGAATAATGCCAGAGATCATCAGATGACGAACAAGAGTATCTATATCAATGGAAGGTATCCAAATCAAGAACTCAATTGGCTTCCAGATAACCACCAGTTTCAAAATAATTATTGGTCATCTAGTGCTAATTCTGATGGGAGTCTATTCAGTGTTTTAAATGCTTGCAGAAATATACCATCGCAATCTCAGTATAATACCGTGAATCCTCAGCAATCGGTTGAGGCAAGGAATTTTGGTCCCAATAATGAAATTTACGGTTATGTACCTCATCAGTTCAAGAGTTCGAGTAGCCATGAAGCTGCTGCTACTAGTGCTTCAACATTGAATGTTCCTTGGATGAATTATCAGCAACAGCAGAATTCTGGTTTGCAAGATTCTATTGGGAAGCCATTTGTTAGAAGATCTTGGAACCAATAACAAATGCGTGGTCTTTTATGATTTTATGGTTTTGAAAATATTGGGCTAATTTTATAGTTTTGAATGGTTATGATTTGTATATAAATAGTTAGGATGTGTACATATTTTGGGAGGAAAAGGGGGATTGGGATGCATAAAGATCTGTGTTACTTTTAACTTCACAGGTGATTTTGGTAGGGGAAGTTTGGGATTTTTGTGTTTCTCATGTTGAGGGGGTAATATTTGTTGTTTGGGGGCTCTGCGTCCCTTGCACAATAAAAAGCTTTTAGCCTGTGACCTATTTTATAAGTTTCTTGCCAAGTTTCCTGCAAAAATATGCTGTGGGTGTTGCAATTATTGAAAATTTCTCTCTTGTTTTGGTTGTCTATGTTATTTCTGGATGATATATTTCTTTTGTTCTCTCTGGACGTGCAAGAGGTTATAATTTGGCTAATGTTCAGAAACCCTTTAACTTACAAATACGATAGCCCCTTTAAAGTATCAGCGATAGTGATCCCACAATCCGCTTTATAGTTCCAAGGATTATCTACACCCCCCCTCCCCCTCCCCGCTTCATCTCTCCCTCTTAAGACTTTCAGATTTTAGCTGACATCTTGGTAAATGTCAGAAAACGCCCTCTTAAACTTTGCAAAATTAGTAAGCCCCCTATTAGAATATTTTATTTGGTTTATCCCAAATTCTCGCTGTTAGCAGGTTATGCAGAGATTATACCCCCCCCCCCCTCCCTCTTTAACTTTCAGATTTTACAAAAAAACCCCTTCTTGGAGCTTCAGATTTTTACCAGAAAGCCCCTAATTAGGGTGGTTTTGATAATCTAAGGTGGGTCGGTGGTGGTGGTGGGAGGGGGGCCGGGAGGCGGCATAGTGAGAAAAGAGAATATATCCACTTAGTCTCTATATACTAAGTTTTTTGCTTGTTAATGTTCCTCCCATTATAATACTATCAACATAATCAGAGAGTAATATACCTAGCACCTGTGATAATTTTTTCTTGTTTTCTTTAGGTTATCACTTCAGTACAAATGTACAGTTTATCAGGATTCCTTCCATAAACTTGTATTCACCAAATATTTTTTGTTTGGAAATTAGAAAATCAGTCAGTAATTAGTTTGAAACAAAATGGTTAAAGAACTTGGAAACGAGAGAGGACAACTAGCACTTATTTTGTGTTTTTATTTATTAAAAAAGAGAAAGAAGAAAACTAGGACTTTCACTCCCAAGAACAAAAATATTAGTCTCAAGGCAAACTAGGTTATTAAAAAACGAAAATTATAGAGTCTCACTAGGGGCACACCCTCAACCACACTCCTAACCACACCCTCACACTCTCTATAGTACTAATGGGTCATGCATGATAATGCATGGCCCACTAGCACTATAGAGAGTGTTGGGGTGTGGTTGAAAGTGTGGTTGAGGGTGTGCTCCTATCATTATTTAAAGGGCAACCCCGATAGATACAAAAAGTTTTTTTACCCACATGTTGGTCCCTTAATTCATTTGTACTTATTAGTCCACCAAATCAACGAAAATATTATTCAGTCCCCTCAAAGCCTAAAAATTATTTCAATTTGTCTCCACGATAAGCTATTGTTTCCATTGCGAAGAATATACCATTAAACTTAAGTCACTTAACTATTTGACATGATCTCACCTTCAACCCTTCCAACAACTCCAAAAAAAAGTCCTTTTTAAGTCCAAAAAACACATCATAAACAGAAAATTAGCAAAATAACTTATTCTTAATAAGTTATGAGTGTTGCTACGGGGACCTAAAATATGGGACCAATGGAGGGGACAGGTGAGGTGTCCCCTCCCTATTGCATAATGAGTTGGCATGGCCAACTCATTATGCAAAAGAGAGGAGACACATCACCTGTCCCTTTCCTTGGTCCCATATTTTGGGTTCTTAAATCATTTTCCATAAGTTACAGGCTCATACTTGCCCTCTCAACTTTTAGTTTTGTCTCTTCTTACCTCAACAATATTTTACGCTCCTACATGCTTTCTAAACTATTAAATATGTTGTTTGTTTACCCTCATCCCTCTGAACTATAACTTTTCTCTCATAAACTCATTTAAGCAACCCAGAAAGTAATGAACAAAGAAGCAGGTGATATCTAAGTAATGAATTTGCTAGTTCTGGAGGTAAGTGAGGATGAAATTTAATAATTTAGGAGCAATGTGAGACAAAAAAAAGTTATCCGGGGGCCAAATAGGAAGCAAAATTTAATAGCGAAAGAGGCGTGTAGGGGCTAAAAATAATTCTGAGGATAAGAAGGGACAAACCAAATACTTTGAGGGGCAAAATAGGGTTTGAAGCCTTCTAAGGGGCTGTTTGGATAGGTTTTTTTGGGTGGTAAAAGAGGAGAAAGCTGTCAAAAATGTTAGCTTTTTGACAACTTTGCTCTAAAATCACCTTTTTAAGGGATGATTTTGGGAGAAAGCTGTCAAAAAGCTGATATATTTGGCAGCTTTCCCCACTTTTACCACCAAAAAAAAAAGGAACCAAACAGCCCCTAAATGATTTGTGAGAGAAACGGCGGTTTTACTTATTTGAGGAGCTAAATTAAAAAATATGAAAGACTAAGGGAGCAACATGTAAAAAGTTCACACAAAAACTAATGAACAGAAAAGGTGTCAGTGCTCACGTTCGTTCCGCTCCCTCTCTCCCCTCTCAAAAACGATCTCTCTCTTTTTCTCCTCCCATTTTATAAATTACTACCCATTAAAACCCTAATTTAAATCCCCCCCTTCAATTTCTCTCTCTCTCTCTCTCTCTCTCTCTCTCTCTTCTCTCTCTCTCTCTCTCTCTCTCTAAAGCCATGGCCATCGAAGCAGCAGGTGGAAAGAAGAAGGAGAAGAACAAAGATGTGATAAGGCTCGAGAGAGAATCGGTGATCCCAATTCTAAAGCCCAAGCTCATCATGAAATTGGCCTACCTCATTGGTAAGCATTCTATTAGATTATCACAATTTAAATTTTTTGATGTTTTTACCATTAATTCTCCGTGATTTGAAATGGGTTCCTCTCAAAATCCCTTTTCCCCCTTTTTTTATGGCAATTAACAATGGTTCTTCATTTGACATTAGCTAGTCCTTTTTTGATTAGAATCAGTGTGAACTGAGTATGGCAAAAAGTATGTTGGTCAAAAAGTAGTTTGTATAAGAATGTCGAATGAGAAACACCAACAGAAAATGTATTGTTTAATCTTAGAGGAGATTTTAGCCTCACGTAGTGAATGTACTAATGTGATCAAAGGGAATTTGAGTGTGTTATAGTTTGCCTCAAATACTCAAATCCATATTGCTTTGGGAGTTCCTTTTCACTTGGTTTGTTTTGATCAAGAGTCCTACTAACATTAGACTTTGCACAACCAATCATATTAGAGGTTTATTTCTACTTGGACTCTTGTTGGGTTTTAGGACATGTTGAATTCTATTCCTATTAGAATTCTTATTCCTTAGACAGCAAGGAGTTGGGATCTTCAAGGCTATATAAGAATAGTCTTTCAAGCCAATAATCATCATCAATCTTCAGAACATCAATCAAGAAGAGAGAGTTCTTTTGTGAAGCCTATTTGATATTCTTCTCTTTTGTTCCTTTTATTTAGTTGAGAGTTGTATTAGGCTTTTGGGGTGTTATTTAGGATTGAGAGATTGAGAGATTCCACTTTGTATTCCTCACAATTAGTAAAACTTTTCTCCTCCTTCACCTGTGGACGTAGGCTACAAGCCGAACAACGTATATCTTTGTGTTCGTGTGTTCTTGATGTTTTTCGTGCTCTCGTGTGATTGATATTAGCTTATCATGGGGAATTTGTCATAACAGAGTGAGGTTTGTTTATGCCTGACATTTACATATCAAACTTGTCAGCTAAAATCAGTCAAAAGAGAATGTGGGGGCAAGCACATTTTTCGACTAATATTTGTTCATTGAGGATTCTCAATGCCATTCACACGACATGATTTATCGGTATTATTGTTAAATGTTGGGAGTTTTGGGTCAGAATTATCGGTGAATGGATCATACCAGTTCAATCATAATCTCCTGACTTTGATTTTTTTTTCTTTTCAAAATTTCTTCAAATATAGTTCTTTCAAATAAACTTTTGGTACTGTAAGCTTTATATGTCATTGCATATTAGTCGTTATTTAGGTAATATTGGCATCTATTAGTTGTAATTATCCTTTGGGATGGTTTGATCATGTGCAAACACATTCCGTTAAGTGCACCAACTAGGAGACGTGATATGTTATAATTAATGGAGAAAAGATGTTAGAATACACATAAGACAACTTGGTTGGAAACAATTAAGAAGGATATGATGGTAATTAACTCAATGGAGGGGGAGAACCCTCAACAGAATTGTTGGAAGAATAGGATTCATGTAGCCAACTCTAAATATTTGGGATAAAGACTTATTGTTGTATTAGTTGTCGTTAGCCAATATCAATGACAATCGATTCAGTTGGCTAGGATTGACATGTTTCAAATCTGATACTATTATGTATAAGCTTTGGCTGATACTTCACACCTAGATAAATATAGTTCAGATATACGTGCACACATTTGTATGCTCTTGCATACAAGATTCAAACATGTATTTAAATCTTTTACACACATTTTTTGTGAATATGTGAAGTCTTTCCTTTTCCACTTACTATAGAATAGTTAAACACTTTCTGTTCCTTATCCTAAAAAGTTTCTAAACTTATCATAATTTTATACAAAATCAACGTTTTTGACAGTCTTTTCCTCTAGACTTTGATATTAAAAAAAATTAAGTAAAGACCCAAACATGTAACACTATTGAATAAGTGTTTGAGAAATGTAGAACTGGTACCTAAGAAGTTTTGGAACTGTCCTAATTTAAAGAACATATTAATGTAACAAACACATTCGAGAAGAGTATAACATGCAGCTGGCAAATGACCTAGAAGTCTTCATAACTGACATAAGTGCGGGTTCATGATAGAAGTAATAGAATCAGTCTTTATCTAATTTTGAGGCGAAGTTTCAGAAAATCACAATGTGAGAAATATTCTTTTTTTCTTTTCATAATATGGCCAAAGGCATAAACATCTGCATGGCCAAAGACATGTCCTTTTTATTTTCTTCTCTGACTACTGGAAGACAAATTCTTGAAAAAAGAAGCAAAAAGAATTCTCAATTAAGCTTACACATACGATGCATATTAATATTAATATGTTATCTTGCAGAGTTTCCATTTTAGCTTTCTTAAGTAAAATTTCTTATTTGACACTTAAGTATTTTAATTCCCTAGCTAAATTCTGGGAGTTACTTCCCCTTTTCTTTTAAGTGCATTAAATTTGTAACCCTTGTGACTTTCATCTGCAGAGCATGATTCTGACAGGACTGAGTTTCTCAAGCTCTGCAAGAGAATAGAGTATACTATCCGCGCATGGTATCTTCTTCAGTTTGAGGATCTAATGGTACTGTACTGTTGTTCTTCTTTCGATGAACATCTCATGTTAATGAATACATGAAGCTACTGGATATTTATTAAGTTAAATATACATGCATCATTTCAAGCATATTTGCTCGCACACATGCAAGCAGGTATGTGTACACATGTACACATATAGGCTATCATACTCATGTTGTGCGCACACTTCTGTATATTGCATGTATAGCTATGAAGTGAGCTATCTATTTAGACTGAATCTTCATACTGTTGGATTCTTGTTCTTTCCGGTTGACTAGATAATGTGTTTGCAGCAATTGTACTCCCTGTTTGATCCTGCTCATGGTGGTCAGAGATTAGAACAGCAGAAACTTTCTCCCGATGAGATTGATGTTCTTGAACAAAATTTTCTAACATATTTTTTCCAGGTCAGTGCTTTCCCTTTGTAGAAAAGCATGGAGTTAACTGCTTAACTTTTTTGCTGTATATGATTAGTTTCATGGTGCTATGCTGTTTGAATGCCGATAGTCATTAGCGGTGCTTGCATCCAAAGGAAAATCGGTTATGAAGTTAAAATTCACTAGTATCTTAAGGCATTGTGGTGACTGTTTAAAGTCTAGCCCCTTTGGCCCATTAGTAAATTATACGCTGGTCAGATACAAGTACACCACTATGTGCCTTGACTCATTTATGATTCCTTGTTGATTTAGACTTGTATTTGGAGGTAATATGAGAAACCTATCAATGCATGTGGATTCTTTAGGTATATTGGATAATTCATGCATAAAACTGTCCGCACTGTTATAAATAGCGGTAAATAGCCCCACAATAGCGGTGCTAATAGCGTTAACGGTCCCTTCTCGTGACGCTATCGCCCGCTACATTGTCGCGCAATAACGTCGACATATTGCGGAATATGTCTGTTCACAAAAGCGACCAATAGTGTGTCATAACGGTAAATAGCAAGCGATTGCATTCGAAATTTGCTTTTTGACTGCTATTTAAAAGCGGTTTGATGCTTATTATTTTAAAATTAAACTTAACCCTTGACCATTGCATTCCACAATCTCCTGTGATTTTCAGCATACTCTCGCCACCTCTCATAGCCTCTGGCACCTACCTTGATACTTCCTCTCACCTCCTTCACCTTGACTCCTCTTAGGACAGTCCTATCACCACTAAGCTCTTCTCTCGAAGACGACGAATTGTTTACTCCTCCAGTCATCTTCGGTATTACGTGATGGTTACATGTCTATTTCATGTTTAGGATCTCGTTAAATCATCCAATATGTACTTTTAGATTTCTTAGATTTTTCTTTAATTTTTTTTAGTATTTATACATATCTAAATTAGACCGCTATTTGACTTTGCGTTTTTTACCGCTATTTTGCCGCAATAGCCCGAAATAGCCTTAGCAATGCCTCACCGCTACGCGACGCTATCCGCTATCGAACCTTGACTGACCGTAATAAATAAGTTAAATATGCATCATGGCTTATTATTCATGTTTCTTAAGTGGATATCATGATAACATTGCTTTCTTGTTTAAATTTCATTATAGTTATAATGAAACTATTTCATTTTATTCAAATAAAAGAAAGTGAGTTGTATTAAATGTATCCAGGAAGAAATAAAGGATCCTACGAATGAGTTGCCCATTCTTCAGTTATCATAAGCATCTCTCACATCTCTAGCAGACAAGTGATTCTTTTTTACTTTTATTATTTGTGGAAGATATGACTGAATATCAGGCATGCCATGATATCTGAGTGGAACACGCTTTATTGATCATTAGACTTTGAGTTAAAGCTCTACTAACACGGGAATAATTCTTTAAATTTTCCTTGGGTAGTGAACAAGTTAGACAAAAAAAAAACATGTTTGGTATATAGAACTGCATTCATCTTTAAGGTACAGTAATACTTTGCAGAGTCTGAGTCAACAGGGGAACTTCCAATAGATAAAGTTATCTGCTAGGGATGCCAATTCATCCATAAGGATTCCAATTTAAGTATTCTTGAAAATATATTAGCTTTTCAAGTGCCCGAAAAAGGATCATGTGGACTCAATATTGCATGATTGCAGAAAGTTGTTTGTCGCTCTAAGTACCAGTTTTTCAAGCTTTTATAAGGATGAGAATGCTCAATTTAGAGAGATTTCACTTACTGATCTAAGTGGAGCAACTTTTTTTTCAATGTCATAGTTTGATTTGTAGGCAATCTTTGCTGTTTTTGTTCAGTGCTTTTTCACTACCCCTTTTGTGAGACACCTTGTTTGGGCCTTCTTGTCCTAAATAATACTTCTCATTATGAGTTGTTCAAAGTAAAATTATGAGTTTGTATCAGTGATAAAACATTGGTTCCTTTGAGAGGATCTTCACAGATTCTCTCTTGACTTTGGGGACACATCTCAACTACTCCAAGTTGAGTCCATGAAATGGACATGAGATGCAATTCCATTTGTCCGAAGCATCATGTTTTAGGATGTGGGCTGGCTGTAATAAATAGAGTTCATGAGAAATAAAGAACACTTAAAGCCTGGAGAAGAACAAAGAAGGAAAGGATGGAAAACTAGGGGAAAACAAAGGAAGGAAACAAGGTTAGCCCTTTTACAGACTTAACAGAAGATATGGCCTATGAAAGCGGTGAAAGGAAAAATGAATCATACATCCAACTTGAAAGATTTGTGATAAAGGCTTTTCCCTTTTCATGTTGTTCTTTGCAGATTACCTTATAGACAATGTTAAGCTATTAACCAGTTCTTGGCCATTTTGTTTCTATCTGCTGCTGTATGTTATAGACGAACTCTCAATTTGTAGCGGCATTGTTACTTTTTTGACTTAGTCTAACAAGGTAGAGATTCAAAGTAGTCCTAATATATTACACATATCTTTTCATTTTAAAGTCATTGTGACCAATTTATGAAAAACTTGTATTACTATTGAACCAATTATTACATCTCCTTTAATTAAAACATTGCTTTGGCTACACAACACGTGTGAACGTGCACACACGGGCACATACACAACTCATGTGCGCGTACATGCATGGCCTCTTATACTCATATTCATGCGATTGAGTAACACTTCTATGCGACCCTAGGTTACCCAGGCACGTCATCTGGGCTCATGTGTCTATGTCTGACATTTCCTGTATCCTAAAATATATACGTACATGTATCTAGATGTGTACTCAATTATATAATGCAGGTTTTAGTTTAAACACTCGTGATACACCTCTTGGAAGTATATCTTACACTTCACCTCGGCAACTCATTGGACTCGGGTCATATTTGTTTCAGCCCATAGGTATTGTTCGGGTATCTAGTTCGAAAATGAGTAGTTTTTCAATTTATAATCTACTCAATAAAAGAAACATATAAATGTTATAGGGGTTTTAGTTCTCATAATATGAGAAAATGAAAAAAACTATCAATCTCATATAAATTATTAATTTCAATTTGCCGTGTCCTGTATCCACACTCGTATCTCTGTCTACACTTGCACCTGTACCTGTGCAACATTGATGCAACCAAAATTCATAGCATCCTGTTATTATATTATGCTAAATAATGAGAAATAACTTTTTTCCTTGAAGGATGTTTGATTATGCCCCTGTAGAAATCCTTATAGAAAAACAACTACTGCATCCAATAGTACATTTTTTTATCAGAATAAAACAAAGAATAGTGTCATATGCAAACATTTCGTCGTGTAAACTGTTCTCTCTTTGAACAACTTCAGAAACCCATTCGAGGCCAAGTAATTTCATTTGCTGTTATGAAGTTAAGTAGGTAAAAATTTTACATTTCACTTCACACTTGAAGCAGGTAATGGAAAAAAGCAATTTCAAAATTGTCACCGATGAGGAGATTGATGTTGCACAGTCAGGGCAGTATCTATTGAATCTTCCTATTAAAGTGGATGAATCTAAGGTCTGGTACAAGAAACCACACTTGCATTCATCATGTATCATAAACTGCACAATTTCTGAACTTTTGCCTAAACTTTTTGAGGTATACAGCTTGACAAAATGCTTTTGGCAAAGTATTTTAAAGAGCATCCGCATGAAAATCTTCCACAATTTTCAGATAAGGTACATATCGATTTAAACACAGATCTGGTAATACTGATAGTGCCATTTTAAAGTGAAAGTCTGTGAATTCAGTAGCTTAATTTTCTTAGTTAGAAATGTTTATTAATATTTCTAAGAACTGTTTTCTCTTATCTCCAACTCTGTGCATCATTTTCAGGGTCACATTATGTTTTCCTTCATAGCTCGGTATAAAAGTATTCAGAAAGAAAGACTGTACTTTGAATCGTCTTCAGTACGGAAAATTTATCCTTCATGTTCGACTAATTTTCTAGAACACTGTTAGATTAATCATGTACCCTAAAAGACAAGTTTCTAAAGGTCATGTTAAGCATGATGAACTATAAAATTGGAAGGAAGTGATTATTTCCTCCTTACATTATGTAGCGTCGTTGTAATTTCAGTGAGATGTAGCTTGGGACGTTATGCGAACCAAACTGCTATATGCATCACACAGGTGCCAGGTCTTATCAATATCATGTGGGACTGGTGTTGGGCCTGTTGGCTTATTCATGGCATAATTGATGATAGTTCAATCATATATCACTTACAAGATTTAGCTCACCTTTTCTTTTTATTCAAAGCGATTTAAGAAGAAGACTAATTCATATTGAAACTTTCTGTTTCTTTGTGATAGCTTGATTTTTCTCTTATTTTCTGTTTCTTTATAATAGCTTGATTTTTTCTCTCACAGTTTCCTTTACCAATTTTTCCCAAAATAAATAAATAAATCCATTGTTCTTTCTTTTATACACACACATAACAAACCACTCTGAATTTAGTTTGTTATGGAGGCAAAGGATGCAATTCACAGAACTACATGGATTGGAGTGTATTGCTATTGACTGTGAAGCGTGTATACCGAGAAAGATCAGTTGAGTGAAGGGTGCAGAAGAAGATGGAAACAGACAATTGTCATAAAGTACTAGTAGTAGTGATAAGCATTAAAGCCTTGTGGTTTGGAGAGAGACGTTGAAAGTAGCAGAAATGTGCATTTAGGAGCAAGATACTAAAATCCACTTACTGTCCCTGAGACAGTATGTCTGTGTCGCTTGTAATACAGAACTTGCCTCAGCGAACTGTGTTAATTAGGAAATTTACTAATGTAGTACATTTAAGTAGGGAATAAACGACGATGTGCAATATATTTTAGAACAAAAGAAGTTGTAACACGCCTCTACTTAGACTATATTTATAGTGCATCCTTTGTCCAGTTTTCCTTCTACATTAAAGTGTAACACCTAAAATAACTCTGTGTGGAGGAACTGATTGCCCTTTAGTTTTGTCATGTTTTCATATTATAGTTCACTGAGATGCCTATAAAGCCAAATCACACTATAGAAGATTGCTTTGATCCTGCCTCAACTTTTTTGTTAACATACATATATATGTGTGCGTGCGTGTGTGTGTATAGTCTTGTCTTCCAATATAGTTCATATTTGTCCTATTTCTTAAGTTTATACGTGAAAATCACAAGCAACTACCATTCAAGTTTACAAAAGAAGGGAGCAACTTGTGTTGTTTATTAATATGCTGGATTTGAGCATTTGGAAATGCAAGTTTCCTTCTTTCTTAGTTATTCTGGGTGTATTTGCAAGAGTTTTGCTATAGTTTCTTTGTTGTTGTATCTTACTGAAAGCGTTTACTTTCTCTTTTGCAAAAGTATGTGATATTCCGTCGTGGAATTGGAATTGACCGTACCACCGATTACTTTTTCATGGAAAAGTTAGATGTTCTCATATCTCATCTCTGGGCATCATTCCTGAGAGTCACCAAGTAAACTCTAGATCCAATTTAACTATGATGGAACTCATTTTTCTCTTAAAATATATTCTGAATTTGGAACTCAATGGTGTATATAGGCTCCGGAGGTTTTTTGCCAAAAAAACGATGACAAAACCCTCTAATGATCCAAAGAAGACCGATGAACCAAGTACAGACACAGAAGAAGACATGTATGTTGAGCGCATTCGACTTGAAAACATGGATCTAAGGTTCAAGCACATCCTCATTTTGGTTCTTTGCAACTTTTGACTGGTCAGATTTTTACATGCTCTTAGTTTGCCCTGGTCGTGACAGCTTGAAGAATCTACTTGGCCAGATAACAATTCAAGAACCTAGCTTTGATAGGATGATTGTTGTTTACAGGTAGAATCTTTTTTTCCTTCTTCTTTTCCTCCGCACAATTTTTTTTTCATTATACTGTGAACTATGGTTTTTCCAAGATCTGGTTTGTATTAAATAACTTAAACTAGTACTTCTGATTCTGATATTCTGCATGAAGTATAATCCTCGAAATAGAATTGAACTTTTTATACCTACAAAGTTAGGAAAATGCAGAATATTTAATATAATTGCATATTTTTTGGATCTTATCATGATGGCTGATGTTTTATTTGGTAAATTAATAGGCGGGCGAGTACAAAATCTAAAACAGAGAGAGGAATCTATGTGAAGCATTTTAAGAATATCCCTATGGCTGACATGGAGTTAGTTTTGGTAAGTATTTCAAATTTCTTACAGAGGTGCAGGTTCCTTGATGTATTCTTTCAGAACTATTGGCCTCCAAACTGTTTGATGTATTGCATTTTAATTGTAGCCTGAGAAGAAAAATCCGAGTTTGACGCCTATGGACTGGGTCAAATTCCTGGTTTCTGTTGTACTTGGGCTCGTAAGTTTACCAGATTAGTTAGTATTTTACTTTGTCTAACTTTGTTTATTGACTGTATCTTTCTTTATCGATTGCTCTTCATCTGAGCTCTTACTGTTTTCAGGTAACTCTTGTTACTTCACTTGAAATGCCTAAAGCTGATTTCTGGGTTGTTTTTGCAATCCTTTCTGGTCTGATTGGTTATTGTGCTAAGATCTACTTCTCGTAAGTACTTCTCAATTGTCATATGGATGATTTGTATCTAGACCTTAGTGTTATCTTCTTGACAAAAAACTCTATACCTCCTTTCTTTTCCAGTGATCTTTTTAATGCTCGAGTTACTATTGTCTATTAGCAGTAATTTGTCTTGATAATGGAGATCTTTTGATAGTGTTACTTACGACTGTATAATTTTGACTTTTACAACAGATTGCATTCGAAGCTGACATCTAACAGATATATTGTAACAGAAATAATTGCTTATTTGTTATTGTGTTCTCTTATTCTGGAAGTGCAAATTTGAGGCAGCCAACATTACTCTAGCTTTGAAACTTGTGAATAAATTTATGTGGTCAACCTTTGGTCCCTTGACGTCTTTATTCCTCTTGCATTTCTTTGGTGTTTTATCCCTGAAATAATATAAATGCTTTACTCAAGTATCTATCTTTGTCGTTAAGATTTCAGGCAAACATGGAAGCTTATCAAAACTTGATCACACAATCAATGTATAATAAACAGCTGGATAGTGGAAGAGGAACACTTTTACATTTATGTGATGATGTGATTCAACAGGAAGTAAGAACGACAAATGATGACTTCTAAATTATACATATATAAAATTTTGAGATAAATATCTAATAGTTTTAAGGTGCAGGTCAAAGAGGTGATAATTTCCTACTTTATATTGATGGAGCAGGGGAAGGTCACAATACAAGTAGGGCTTAAATGATGTCTTTATTAATCCTTCTCCTTCTTTATTCTTCATCAGCAGGCTAAACTTAAACTTAATTCAATAACGTATTCTGTATGATTACTCAGGATCTTGACCTTCAATGCGAAGAACTTATTCTAGAGGAGTTTGGTGAGAGATGCAACTTTGAGGTGCTTGATGCTGTTCAAAAGTTAGAAAGGCTCGGCATTGTGTCCCGAGTGAGCTCTCCATGCACATCACATTTATAGAAAATCTAGAATGCCCTCACACTTGAAAAAATCAACGGAAATGCCCTCACACTTTGAAAAATAAATAGAAATGTCTTGACACTTGGAAAAGTCCACAAAAAAAGGTTTTTTTTGCGTGGGGGGTTGGGGGGGCTTTGACATCACAATTCGACAACACTGCTTCCCCCATATTCTATGTCATGCATGCATCATGTGCATCAGAATACTAGTTTTCTAAAAAGAAAATATCACGTATTAATGATATCAGAGGTTTCCTATATGCACCTATGCATTATTGCTGCTGTTTGTCAATAAAATTCTTAAAATATGATCGCTGTGAAAGTGATACAACATTTTCCTTTCTACTCTTTATTTTGATACTTTTCTTGTGACAATAAGCAGGAGTGGATTCAAATAATGATTTAGGACATATAGAAAAGAGAAAAAAATTATAGCAAAAGATTTCAACTTTTCGATCCATTCATTTTTCTTCAAAGGGAAAAGAATTCCAATGTCATGTTCACCGTATCACAGGAAGCATTTCTTTGTCTAATTTCACATAAGTATTGATGTTAGCATGTGTGATATCCTCTATTCCACAATTGATGAAATGAAATATCTACTTGTATGCCCAGGACTCTATCGGTAGAATTTCATGCATACCTTTGAAGAGAGCTAATGAGATCATTGGACCAACGACTGAAGAACTGGTGATTAAAGCCAAACAAAACCCTGCTCCTTAATCATTTAAGGTAAATCTTATGCTTAAATTTCACATTTTTGCGACAATTGATTTTAACGAAGACCGAGATTTTAGCCCTGTACCATTTTCCAGTTGTCTGAGGAGGGAGCATCATATCCATGAAACCGAGCATTTTTGTACGGATTCTCAGAGCAATTTTTTCGTTCTTTAATTCATAAATTGTTACATTAAAACATCTGATAAAGCATTTGAGTGTTAATTTGAAATTGTTGGATGTTTATGTCTCAATGCAAGCCATGGTCTGTACTGCTGGTTTCCATGATTCCATTAGTAGTTTACCAGAATAAGCTAATAGTCACTGTATATTGCTTCTGAGAACATAAGTTTATTAGATTTAGCCCAATTGACAGAATGATGGTACTGCTTGTAATTGTTTCTTCTTCTTTTTTTTTTTACAAACAAGATGATGATCATAGTCTAATATTTTTCACTCCTACGCTTTTATGTAATGTATATATATAAATCAGGACTTAACCACGGATGCTATAGTTTTATCCTAGTATCCTAGTAGTTGATGTTTTCTANNNNGGATATTAGCAGTTGATGAACTTCAAAATTTTGACAACTAGAGCTAATTAATAATATGCTTGGCTTGATGATCAAAATTCAATAAAAAATTACAAGGGCGAAGCCAGGTTCCGAAGATAGATAGCGCACAATTCGTACTCTTTTTTTTTTTTTGGTCATGATAAAAAGACAAAACACTTGACAGATAAAGTAGTCATGCTATTTGACATTTTTCAGATCAAACCATATCATATCATACTCTTTATAAAAGTAAAGTGTGAGTTTGGAAAAAACATTCCGTGGACAAAAATAACATTGATCATTCTTGATATGTTATCCTAACCATTATAAACCTCAATAATGAAAAATTACGGTAAAAATATTTAAATATATAGTAATTTTAGATAAAAGATAAAGAATTTATAAGAGTTAGTTTTTATCTTTATATGTAATAATTTTGGTAATTAGTAAAGAGATAAATACTTGCTATCTAATCCTAATATCTTTAAATTATGAGATAAGTATTGATAATAAGAAGTTAGTTTTTATCTTTAAATTTAAATATCTATAATAATTAGTAAAGAAATGAAAAATTATTCTCCTATCCTAATATTTATAAATTACAGCATCGTGATAATATAAGGATTTGATAATTAGGAATCGTTTTTAATCTTTAAATATCATTGTCTATAATAATTAGTAAAGAGACAAAAAGTTTGCAAATATTAAAGGTTTGAGGGGTACGCGTGTAAAAACCCAACTTCAAATTTTTAATTTAGCCCAACTTATTTTTTATTGGAAAAAATAACTTTTGTTGTGAGTATACATGTATTGGACTTTAAATTGAACGAAATCCCCATCACGGGCCAACATTTGAAATTTTTCAAAAATCACTCTAGAAGTTTAGAAAATTGTAAAGAGCGCCCTAAGAATTAAAAAAAATAAAATCATCTGGATTTTTGCAGTTCTTTAATTTTCAATCCAATGTTTGAAAGTTTTGAAATTTTCAGCGTATATTTGTAATTTTTTGAATTTCTAGGGTGTTTTTTAGAACTTTTGAAACATTTTAGAGTGCTTTTTTTTAGTTTTCAAGATATGTCAAGCAATGATGAAGATACTAAGAGGGAGTGATTCTTCATAGGCCACAGTTATATAAGCGTGCACATCAATCATTCTAGTAAGTAGTTTACCTATGCAAAGATATTTGTAATTTTTTGAATTTCTCGGGTGTTTTCTAGAACTTTTGAAACGTTTTAGGGTGTTTTTTTTAGTTTTTTAGATATAACGAGCAATGATGAAGATATTTCAAGAGGAAGTGATTCTTCATAGGCACATCAAATATTCTAGGAAGTAGTTTACATATGCACAAAGTTTTAAATTGCCTATATAGTGCATCCCAACCAGTAAGAATAAGATGAAGGGTGAAAAGATAAAAGTATTGCTAGATTTATTTGCACGTGGTAACAATAAGATGAAGGGTGAAAAGGTAAAGTACTGCTAGATTTAGATCAACAAAAAAAGATAATAAGTTATTATGTTGAGAGTGGGATTTGAACCCACGCCCTTTCGGACCAGAACCTTAATCTGGCGCCTTAGACCAACTCGGCCATCTCAACAGCTTTGTTTACGGAGGTGAAGTTTTATATATAATTTTTGAAGCAATTGGCCTTGTTAGCGATCATCCACCAGGAGCACCACCCAAAACAAGCCTGGGAAATTTCGATTCATTGGAGATTAACTTCCTGGTTATTATCATGCAACCATGTTCTTACATCCTGGGAATTTAACATAAACTTAATAATAATAAGAAGAAGAATCCCCACAAGGCAAAATGTTAACATAGATGACCCAAAGGAGAACTTAAATCGCTGCGGTAACTCTGTACTTTCTCCGGTGCTTTAGCTGAACCTCTCGGCTCAAAAACTTATCTCGCGTCTCTCTGCAAAAAATTTCCCAGTGACAGGTTCATCAGGCAGAAGCACAGCCCAAACACCGGTATCAGCACCTTCTTCAGGTGTCATATTGCCCTCCCAATTGGTCATGGCAGTCTTCACCCAGCCTGGGCAATAACAATTCATGTATATCTTTTGGCCTTCTGGTCTCTCTGAAAGAATTCTGGCCATTAGCCGTGTATACGCATTTACTGCTAGCTTCGAAAGGGAGTAATCGGTGAATACTTGGGGCCATTCGTTTAATGGGCCGGTTCCTTGTTTAACTTGCTCGAGAAATTTTGTAATCATGCCATCGATCAGTTCTTCAGAGAGGCAGTCGTCTCTAGAGAGCTGGTCTCTTAAGGATGCATCTCCTAATCTCTGTCATCATGCAACTTAACTGAATTACCAAGTACGAAACCTTAAATTATAACCATGTGATACGCAACAAAAAAAAAAACTTTTGTTCAACATTGCTACTTGGTTAATTGTTTTAGAAATGAATGTTGTAACACCCTATGGAATAAAAAGAGGACTTCAAAAAGAAGGAAAAATAGCTGAAGAGGACAATAGAGGAATGACACCTGAAAGCAAGAAAATATAAGGCTTTTTTAGTTCAAGCTCATTCTTGTTAGGCTGTTTCATGTTTGAGCTTGATTGTGGAAAACAAGTTTGCTATTTTATTTTAAAACCAGTTAATTATTTACGGTTCTTAATTCAAACAACTTGTTTGATTGAAACTTGAAAGCATGTAGTTCATTATTAGACAATTGAAGTTTCTATGCAGTGATTGATGTCATAATAAAAATACCTGATTCTTGTCTCCTTCATTAACTTCGAATAAAACAAGCTATGATATCATATTACCAACATGGTTAATCATGTGTACTTTCTTATTGCATAGTAAATTTTTTTTATCCATCTTGTTATAACCAGTCTTGCTGCGATGGATTCAATTTGCTGCATCATTTTCGTTATTGACATCTAAAATCATGCACTTTACTAGTACGGGGAGGCTATTTAATTCTAGCACAATAAAGTAGGGTTATGTGAAATTTCTTTATTTTCAGATTATATATGTGGACTCTAGACATACCTCTGACAAGAAGAGAAAAAGCTAATTATTAGTGCATTTTATGTGTTAGCAACAAAGCAAGAGTATACCATGCAAGAAGCTTATTGTAGAATAACTTAATGTTGTGGTTATAAAAAGTGGGAGGAGAAAATATTTTCTCCTTTAAAAAAGAATAATTCTCCTCATTGTTGGTGCACTCATAGAAATCAACTTTAGCATGATAAGCATGCAGAGAAGAATAAATTGTTTATGCAGACTTACATTACGTCTTCCATTGATTCTGCCCAGTCTTGAGGTCACGTTTAGAATACGAGCACCATAAGGAGAAGGTTTCATTACTGGGATCATGGTTTCAATCATCCGTTTTGTGCCAAAATAGTTTATGGCCATAACCTTCTCAGCAAGCTCAACTGAGTTATTCGAACCGATGTTATAATTGACACCAGCGTTATTTACCTGGAGCAAAGGCAAATCTGAGACAATGAGAGGAGTGAGAAAGTGAGAAACAGTCCACCCTGAAGAAATTAGAGAAGCATCTTACAGGTCCTTAGAAAGAGTTGAACTGCATGGTGCTCTACTAAAGTCATTTTCCAGATTAAATCGTACAGTTTAAAACATATAGAAACTATAATACCAAACATTATACCCATTAAACACAAAAAAGCACCAAATCTCTAAATACAATGATCATTTTCATGGTTTAGCACATAAGAAATATATGACTAAGCATCGTTTCATAGACCAAGTAAAAACCCAAGTAATGAAATGAAAGAAGAAACAATATGCATGATACAATTGGTTTGTAATCCTCCCCTCTTATTACTTTCTTTAACTCATCTTTCTTCAAGCATGTCTTGCACTACTATATCACACAACTATTTTTAAGGAAACAAGGGCCTTATCCAAGTTATTGATGGAAATGAAAACACTAAAAGTACAAAGTCATGTTTGGAGGGGTAGAGGACTACGTCATGAGCTATACGGGGTCATTGTGGGCTTTGGTAACATATAACGAGACCGTTAGAAATCAATAAGCCATTTTAATGTTTGCCATTAAATGCCACTTTCCATTATAAATCTTCTTAATCCTCTCCTTCAAGTCAACCATAAAATCACCATTATAGAACAATTCCATTCACTTCAAAGATCATCTCGGATATTGGATGTCCTTCAATCATGCAAGAAATCCGTAATAGCGACTACTCAAAAGAAAACTGACATGCTAAGTCTACTTCTTCCCTCAATAACTTCTTACACAAACTTCCCTAAAATGTCCTAACATCCAAAAGATTCAAAATTTATAAAAGATTCAACTTCCTAGTAATATGGTCGGAAAAAAAACACATTATTACAAGCAATCAGCTCTATACCACTCAAAAATTTTAAAAGAATCTTAACTTTTTGCAGTAAAACTAAATAAAACAAAAAAGTTTTTTTTACATATACCCCTCGATCAGCCATATTTTCAAATTTACCCGCTAAATGGACAAATTTTCAAAACCGACCCTTTTGAGTTTTTATTTGTAAAAAACGACCGGTTTTTAAAATATTTGTAAAAACCGACCTGTTTTCAGCCCAGCCGCTAAAAACAGGTCGGTTTCTGTAAATAATTTTCCGAAACTTCACGGGAGTTGAACTCCCGTGAAGATTTACAGACTTTTAAACTTCACGGGAGTTCAACTCCAGTGAAGTTTAATTTCCTAAAAAACTTCACGGGAGTTGAACTCCCGTGAAGTTTGATTAACTGGGAAAAAAGGTAGCATCGCCTCAAGAAATTCACCTTCTTCACTCGAAAGCATCTCCCGTGTAGAATCATCGTCAATTTCTTCTTTTTTTACCTCAACCACATTATCTGCACCGTCAATTGCTTTACCCAAGAACGCACCGGCTCTTTGGACATCATCTCCAACATTTTCTTCAATAGTAATCGAATCGGCTTCTTCCGCTTTTGCCTCAGTCTCGACCTCATGTTGATCTTGCTGCTTCAAGGCCCTTTGGAATCATTAGAGACTCCTCTAGAACCCTAACTTCAGCTATCCCCTTGGAATCATTAGAGACTCCTCTAGAACCCTAACTTCAGCTATCTCCTCTTGCTTCAAGGCCCCTTGGAATCATTAGAGACTCCTCTTGCTCAACAAGGCCCCTTGGAAGAGCTTGCCGATGAGAGAGACGAGGAGGACGGAGAGGATCACAGTGAAGAGGAGCTCCTGATAGAACTCCATGGCGATGAGAGAGCTTGCCGATGGAGATCACATTTCACTTCGAGAGCTCAGTGTTCCTAATTAATCAAACTTCACGGGAGTTCAATTCCCGTGAAGTTTTTTAACAAATTAAACTTCACGGGAGTTCAACTCCCGTAAAGTTTAAAAATCTGCTAAACTTCACGGGAGTTCAACTCCCGTGAAGTTTCGGAAAATTATTTACAGAAACCGACCTGTTTTCAGCGCCTGAGCTGAAAACAGGTCGGTTTTTACAAATATTTTGAAAACCGGTCGTTTTTTGCAAATAAAAACTCAAAAGGGTCGGTTTTGAAAATTTGTCCCCTGCTAAATCTAGATATTTGCTAATTTAACAAAACAAACTATCTCACATTCATGTCACAATGCCACTCCAAAGATTCAAACAAAAAACAAAAAACTTACCAAAACATCAACTCCTCCAAATTTATCAACAACCCACTTCACAAAATCCTCCACCGATCCAAAATCCTCAATATCAAGCCGATGCCAATCCACATTCCTCGCCCCCTCTCCTCTAATCTCCTCCGCCGCTCGTCGGCATCGATCGGCATCCCTCGCCGCGATCACAACAAACAAGCCATGGCCCGCGAGCTGCCGGGCGATCTCGAAACCGATTCCTCTGCTGGAACCGGTTACCACTGCGACTGTACCTGAGGACCACCATCTACAGAGAATTGGAGTCAGAAAAGGGAACGAGATGAGTTAGGGTCTAGGGTTTCGACGGGGTTTTTTTTCCTCACCTCTGATGAGAGGGGATCGGTTGCTTTCGGAGCTCGGATATTTGCTGGAGGCGATTCTGGCGTCGCTCTTTGGCTAGTTGCTTGCCTCTTTTGCCCATTTTGGGTGAGGATTTTTTTAGGGTTTGTGTTTGGCGCGGGGGATTTTGGAGATTTACGAGTCTTTTCAATAATTTTCTGTTTTTCATGAATTTTATTTAATAAGCCTATATTTTTAATTAAATGAAATTTCGTGTCATTTTTAATAAAATAGTGTGTGTATATACTTCTAATAAGTGAAGTAAATATGTTCTATCAGAACGTCCTATAAATAGGTGGTCACGTTATGGACAAATTTTTGAAAACACACAATTTTTAAATTTATATAGCAAAATCGACCCTTTTTAAAAAAAATTAGCAAAACCGATCCTTTTCAGATGAAAAGGGTCGGTTTTGCCGAGGAAGTGTTTTTCGAACTGTAGCAGTCCCGTGCATTTCAAAACTATCTGCAGAGTGCAGTTCGAAAAGAAAACGAAATGCACGGGACTGCTAGTCTCATGCAGTTCGAAAAACGAAATGCACGGGACTGCTGGTCCCGTGCAGTTCGAAAAACTCTTCCGCAACAAAACCGACCCTTTTCATCTGAAAATGGTCGGTTTTGCTGTTTTTTTCAAAAAGGGTCAATTTTACTATATAAATTTGAAAATTGGGTGTTTTCAAAAAATTGTCCTCAAATTATTTATGGGTGGTTAGAAGTTTAAATTTCAGAATCAAAGCTTTTCTATTCACGGGTGGTTCTGATAGAGTAATGATTCTATGCAGAACGTCATATATATATAATATATATATATATTATATATATATATATATATATGAGAGAGAGAGAGAGAGACAAGATACTATCAACTTAAGTTGATTTTCCACCAAAGTTTCTAAGCCACACATATATTAATATAAAAACCTTTTTATATAATACATGGATCCTAGGCAATATGAGTGGTTAAAAACTTTGGTGGACACACTATTTGCTATCCATTAAGTTGATAGGAGTTTTCACCTCTATATATATATATATATATATATATATATATATATATATATATATATATATATATATATATATATATATAGAGCAAGATCCTATCAACTTAAGTGGATAGGGAATAGTTGTCCACCAAACTTTCTATCCACACAAATATATATATAAAAAGTCACTTCATATCATGCAAGGATCCCCCAATATCTAATGGTTAAGAAGTTTGGTGGATGTCAACTTAAGTTGACACAAGTTTTCTTCTATATATATATATATATGTGGTTAGAAGTTTAAATTTCAGAATCACGGTTTTTCTACTCACCGGTGGTTCTGATAGAATCCCTATTGTTTGATAAATATCCAAAATATTGCACTTAATACTCATCGAAAAATGGCAGGCAGATAAAAATTTGAGCTTCCGAGGTATAATGTATTAGTCTAGGTCCACCCAACACTAATACTCAAGGCGTGACATCGTGTGCTTATTTGGCATATTGTTTAAATCAGGCTCGCCAACCGCAATTTCTTGACAAGACGGCTGACATTCAGACGCCTCATTATTATCCTATACTCTACCAATGCTATCGCTAGAAAGCGATTGTCATGAAGCACATCATCATGCGCGGTCGTATTTAAACTAACCCCGCCCCCCCGCCCCCCTCCCCTTCAAATCCTAATTGATAGACTGGCTGCCTTCCGGCTTGAAAATATTGTAAAACACTTGCCGTAGTAATATACTTGGACCGACTCTCAACTCTATATGAGTACGCGAGCTCACGTTACCTTTAAAAAAAAAAAAACACACACACACATGAAGTCCTTAGGTTATATTGTCATTATCTATAAATAAAATCGCCATCTGAATGTTGAAGGGTTGTGGTCGGAACCAACCCCGACCCCCCCTGATGCATATGCTCATCGTCGCACACAGACCAATCGTCGGGGATCTAGAACCGGGTCCGAATGTTGAAGGGTTGTGATCGGAACCAACCCCGATCCTCCTAACGTATATGCTCACCATCGCAGACAGACCAATCATCGGAGTTCTAGAACCGGAGGTGATGCTAAGAGGCTGTTTGGTTCGTTTCCTAGATATAGGGAAATGCATTTCTATGTACAAAAACACAAGTTTTGAGTTTTTTAAACTTTTCCAAGAAATAGATTATTTCGCTTTGGTTCGCACAAAAAAAATGGTGGGAAACCAATGCATTTATTTTTCTTGTGTTTGGTTCGCATGGGAAAAAAAAACGTTTGTTTATATGGCAAAAAGCTGACGTGACTGCAGTTTTCGTCGATTTCACGAGGTTGAGGAAGGAATTGGGGAAGAGAAAAAAATCTGATATGGCAGCGATTTTCACCGAGTTTCCCTTCTTCAACCCTAGCGAACCAAAGATGAGGAAAAAAAACCGACGGAAAGCTTATATCCTACGTGGCCATGAAAAACCTAATGTGGAGGCGGTGTAAAACTTTTACACCGAGTTAAAAAACGAACCAAAAAGCCTATAAAAAGAAAAAAGAAACAATTAACTCACACTGATATATATCATGATCCGCACTAATCTGCGAAGATTCTGCTGACTGGATCTTGTCGTAGGTACGTGACAGCCCCTGTTTCTTGTGCAGACATTCAGCATCTTAACATTCAGTTTTATGGTACGCTTTTTGCGTGCATGGGACATAACTTTGATCGAAATAGTAATTTTGTAGCATTAGGCCGACAGTCATGGACAAAAATAGAATGGAATCTCCCTTTGTCCTATGTTTCTAGCATCTAAACCCGGCCAATAAAAAACAAAAACAAAACAAATTAAGAATAAAAAAAGGGCTCTTGGTTTTTTCCCCCTCTCTCTCTCTCTTTATTTTCCTTCCCTTTTCATCATTCTCTTCCGTTCCTCTTCCAAAATCCCCTCTTTTCTCGATTTTCTGGAAATGAGCGCGATTCTCGATCTGGATCCGATGTTGGAGCAACCAAGGGATTTGAAGCTCGATCCCCTTCGTTTAATTTTAAAAATGCGAGATTTTTGATGAAAAATTGGTGTAAACAGAGGGACATTTTGAAAAATCCAACATGCTTTTCGCCAAGCTCGATGATTCTCCTATGTTTAGAAAGCAGGTGATGGGAAATCTCCACCTTTTTCGTGTTTGTTGTAGTTTTTTTTTTAATGATAGATGATTCATTGGGATGGAGATTTCTGATTGTTTTCAAGTGAATTACATTTCGGCTGAAGACATTTTATAAAAATTGAAAATTCGGATACATTGTGCGTGTTTTTAGTAAAAGTTGGAATTTGGATGCGAATTGGCTTCGATTGCTTATAGTTTCTGATAATATGATGACGTTAATAAGTTAGATGGCATATGATAGCGTGTAAAATTATAACCCTTGACCCTCGTCGAAGACTTCAGAATTCTCGTGTAGTGGAATAAGATGATATCAAAGCAGCCTAGGTTCAAAAGTTGTTGCACGGATCCAGGTTTTAGCCCATGAAGAATGCACTCCACCTACGGGGACACGTTAGATTATAAAATATCACTTAAAAGCTTTGGAGTTTTGATGCTGTAGAGGGACCTCTAGCAGTGTAGCTGTCCTTGGGCAGTGATCCCGCTGTATCCAAGGATTTTGATACAAAAGAGGGTACAGAAGGGGAATGATTGTAATAATCCTAAAGGGAAGGAGTGGAAAGGTAAGGGGTTTGATGAAACTAAACTAATTGTGTTTGGATAGACAACTAAGGAAAGAGAGGGGGTACGCTATGATTTGTGTAAGAAGGGAGAGAAACTACATGACAAATATGACTTAAGTCTAGGGATAATATTGAATTTTAAGAAAATATCACCTAAAACTCAACCCCTCCCTTCCCAATCCGTCCACTTTAGGAGGCTAAGAAAGTAATGAAATTTGCTTCTTTTCAGCCCTCCCATTCCTTCCCCTCACTAACTAAAAACTTTAAACAAACACAATTTTAGGATGGTTGACATTATAACCTTCCCAACTCCTGTCAGCAGCCCACGTTTTTTCTGCCGCTCACCTTCTTTGGTAAAGAAGGAAAACAATGGTCGAAATTTTAGAAAAAGAAAAAGATATGGGTCCCACAAATATATTATTATTAGTAGCAGGTCCCACTAATAATATTTTATTTATGCATAGTGTTTCACAAACACTATAAATAAGACATTAAACTCTTAAGGAAAGCTCATCCTAGAAATAACTTCTCTTACAGAAGAGTAAGAGAGAAAACACAGAGAGAGTTTGTGAGAGTTCTTGGAGTGTATCTGATCAAGAGAGAATGTTCTCTTTAATCTATTCTTTTGGGATATAAAAGAATTTGGCGAGTATGAGTGTTCTTCTTAGAGCACAAGTCAGATGTTTTCATCATCTTCAAGAAGTGGCTTGTCTGTGTGGAGAATGAAACAGGCAATAAGTTGAAGTACCTAAAGTCTGATAATGGAGGCGAGTATTGCAACCAAGAGTTCGAGAACTTCTGCTCGTTCCATGGGATTAGGAGACTGAAGACCGTCCCAGGCACACCTCATTACAACGGAGTGGCGGAGCGCATGAATCGCACTATATTAGAGCGCGCCAGAAGTATGAGGATCCACTCCGGATTGCCCAAGAGTTTTTAGGCCGAAGCTGTTAATACTGCTGCATACTTGATCAACCCCGGGACATTCGCGGCTCTCAGTTATGGGATACCTGAGGATGTTTGGACCGAAAAGAAGCTGAAGCTAGAGCACTTACGAGTATTTGGTTATGACGTCTATGTTATGACCAATCCTACAGACCGGTCAAAACTTGATCCAAAGTTAAAGAAGCTCTCTTTCATCGGTTATGGAGGAGATGAGTATGGGCACTGTTGAGAATGGAACACAATTAAAGGGCTTTTAGAGGACCTTTGTGTAAACCTGTTATGTAAGGCTATATAAGCCAACAATCTATCAATAAGAACTGAGAGAAAACCCCTAATATTTCAATATGGTATTAGAGCTAGCCGCCGCTGCTCTCCTCCTCTTTTAACTCGTTCACCCTAAAAGCCCTCTTCATCTCCTCCTAGTTGCGGAGCTCCAGGTCTTCACGGAGGCGCGGAGACACGGGTGACGGAGTGTTGCCGGAGACGCGGGTGACTGAGGCACGCTGAGACCTTGCCGGAGATGGCGACGCCGTCGTAGGTGGGGCGGCTGTAGGAGGATCTCGAGGGGTCGTCAGAGGAGGGGACGGCTTGGCGCTTGGATCCGGGTTGGGACTCGGATTTGGGATCGGGTTCGGATCTGTAATATGTATTAGGGTTTTGTTTTGGGGGGAAAGAGAAGAAGAAAAAAAAGGGAAATAAAGGGGATCTGTAATCTTTTTTTTTTGGAGTTCTTTTTCTTTTTCTTGTGATTCGGGGATTTGTTAGGGGGAAAGAGAAGATGACCAGGGAAGAAAAGATGGCCTAAACGTGCTGATTAGAAAAAAAAGGGGGATCTGTAATATGTATTAGATGATTTTTTTTTCTATTTCTCGAATTGTAATAGCTTGTTTAGGTTCCCTCGACAGGTCAGTCCTAGAACTGATGAGAGGAAGAACTGATATCTCACTTGGTTGAGATATCCTGCTTCTGGTTCTTGTTTCCTTGGTGAAACAGGAATTCTTGTTGATCTATCTTTCTTGTGGTGCTGTCAAAGTGCTGTCGAAATTTTTACTGCACACAAAAATATAAGTTGGATCGATGACGGAGACTGGCAAAAATCCGATGAAAGGGATCATCAAGAAGTTGAATCCTGAGGAGATCTCAACACTGATGCAACTGATGAAGTTGTCGGCGGGAGAGAGCTCGACAAAGCCACAACCCAAGAAGGTGGAGCTTCCACCTATCGATGTAAAACTTGATGGACCCGCGATATATCTGAATTGGTCGCGCCGGGTGAAATATACCCTTGCTGGGAGGAGCCTAGAGGGATATCTGACAGGGGAGAAGACTGAGCCGGCTGAGGACTCAGCAGGGAGGGATGAGTGGAAGTCCACTCATATGTTGGTGTATATCTGGCTTCTGAATTCTGTAGTCCAGCCAATTGCTGCCACAGTGGATGACCTTGGGAGAGTGCATGATGTCTGGGAGAAGCTGAGGAGGACCTACGATAGGGTGGGAAATAACTTGAGAGTATTCCAGATCGAGAAAGAGATCAACGTTACAATCCAGGGAGAGAGGACTGTACATGAGTATGCCACAGAGCTGGAGCGCTTGTGGCTCGATCACGATCACTTCTCGCCCCTGGCAAGCTGCAAGGACCCGAGATGCAAGGAACGCGAGACCTCTCTGCAGAAGAGGACTATGTTGTTTCTTCGAGGCTTGGCTCCAGCGTATGAGCAGAGAATGGCGTTGCTACTAACCCAGACGAAGATCCCATCACTGGAGGAGGCAGTCTCGGCCATGATACAAGAGGAGAGCCGTATCAGGCTACAGGCTGGGTCAGGTGGACTTATAGGGGAGAAGTCTGCACTGGTGGTATCCAATCCGGATAACACTAGATTCAGAGGGAAGACTAGGCAGTACTTTAACTGCGAAAAAGTAGGGCATCTAAGACAGATGTGCCCTAAGCCACCCAGGGAGAGGAACTGGGGTGAACGTGGTCAGGCTGGAGGCCGTGGCCGTGGGCGTGGAGGCAGGCGAGGTGGAAGAGGAGGCCACCGGGCAAACTTGACAGTGGCAGAAAGGGAAGAAGAAGCTGAGATGATCTTCACTGATGAGGATCAGGCTCTCTTGTCAGCACTGAGGAGGAAGCAGAGAGCAGTAGGTGATGTGTCTGAGGAGTTATCTACTACTTTCACTGGAGTGGACTATACCAATTACGCCCTTAGTGCACACCCAAACGAGGGAAGATCCACCGCCTGGATAATAGATTCTGGAGCATCCAGACATGTGACAGGCAATTCCAGTGAGTTCTTATCTTACACTCACTTAGCAGAAGCAGAGAGCATCCAAATTGCTGATGGTACAGCACAGGATGTGGTTGGTAAGGGCACTGTTAGTTGTACAGGTTCTATAACTTTATCTAATGTTCTGCATGCTCCTTCATTTCCTGTTAGCCTGTTATCAATTAGTGCCATTATCATCCAACTAAATTGTATTGTTTCTTTTGACATTCCCAAGGTAATTTTTCAGGAGAAAGGGACAGGGCGAAGACTTAGGACTGGGACATGACGTAGCGGGCTGTGGTACTTGGACCACGAAGGGATGGACTCAACGTTGACTTCTGTGGTGGAGAGGACAGGAATAAGAGGAGCTAAAGTCTGTGCAGAAGATGAGTTGATGCTTTAACATCAGCGAATGGGTATTTTGGGTAAAATGTATCCAACTCTGTTTGGAAAAGTAAATAAACAGAAGTTGCAGTGTGATGCTTGTGAGTTTGGGAAGCAGACTAGAAGCTCTTTTGTTAGTTCGGGTAGTAGGAGTTCTTGTAAGTTTGAAGTAATACACTCTGATGTATGGGGACCCTGCCCAGTAAATTCTACAAATGGATGCAAGTTTTTTGTAACATTTATTGATTGCTTCTCTAGAGTCACTTGGGTGTATCTTATAAAAAACAAAAGTGATGTAGTTGGCTGTTTCAAAGATTTTCATAAGCACATCCAGACTTAGTATTGTGCAGCAGTAAAAGTGTTGAGGTCGGATAATGGAACAGAGTACACCAATAAAACACTTGGGGAGTATCTGTCAGCTCAGGGGATTCTACACCAGACTACATGCCCATACACACCAGCTCAAAATGAGGTAGCAGAGAGGAAGAACAGACATCTCCTAGAAGTTGCTAGGAGTATAATGATGGCAATGAACGTCCCAAAAGTGTTGTGGGGACAAGCAGTCTTGACTGTTGCTTACTTAATCAACCGGATGCCTTCGAGTGTGTTGGAGTGGAAGTCTCCTCGTGAGACACTGAAGGGAGATAACGGGGGGCCCTACCATTGAAGGTATTTGGCTGTGTGTGCTTTGTGAAGGACAACAGACCATCGGTTGGGAAGCTAGACCCTAGGGCTGTGAAGTGTATATTCGTGGGCTACAATGGCACCCAGAAAGGATATGTCTGCTGGAGCCCGGTGGAAAAAAGGCTGTTTGTCAGCATGGATGTGCGGTTTCGGGAGCTCGAGCCGTACTACACAGTGGGGATTACTTCACCTTTTGGCGACTTGCCTGATACTGGAGGTACGAGGCAAGAGGGAGGGAATGGTGAGAGCTCAAGGGGGTCAATCCAAATTTCGATCCCGTACTCAGCAGAGAAGGAGGATGAAGACGAAGGGGAGGAGGAGGAGACAAGGGGTGTTAGGCCTACAGCTCAAGGGGAATTGCTTGCATACAGTAGGTGGGGGAAGGAGCCAGATGTGCTTACAGTGACAGTGCCAGTGCCTAGTCCCTTGTCCAGCTCTGCTCCAACTCCTGAGACACCTACACCATCCTCCACTCTAGGTAATACCACTACTCCCTGCCTCTCTCCCGACACCAATGTCAGAAAGGAGGACTACTCGCAGTAATGCGGGAAATCCTCCTAAGAGATATGGTTGGGATCTAGCTCATTCTGTTTCCTATTCACATATTACCTTCATATGGAGCATTCATTGCATCATTAGATTCTGTTATTATACCTAACAACTGGCAGGATGCTAAGAAGGACCCAAAGTGGAAGGCTGCTATGCATGAGGAGCTAGGGGCTCTTAAGAAGAACCACACGTGGGAGTTAGCGACACTGCCAGCAGGGAAAAGAGCAGTGGGATGCAAGTGGGTGTCCAGCAGGGAAAAGAGCAGTGGGATGCAAGTGGGTGTTTACTGTGAAGCAGAACCCAGAAGGGAATGTTGAACGATATAAGGCACGACTGGTGATGCAAGTGGGTGTTTACTGTGAAGCAGAACCCAGAAGGGAATGTTGAACGATATAAGGCACGACTGGTGACAAAAGGGTACAGCCAGACATACGGCATTGACTACGATGAGATTTTTGCACCAGTGGCAAAAATGAGTACTGTTCGAACATTAATTTCTCTGGCAACAAATGGTGGATGGCAACTACACCAACTGGATGTGAAGAATGTGTTTCTTCATGGAGATCTAGTGGAAGAGGTTTATATGGAGATACCACCTAGATGTGGCACATGACAGACAGTAGGTAAGGTCTGCAGGCTGAAGAAGTCTCCGTATGGACTGAAACAGTCCCCTCGAGCATGGTTTGATAGGTTTAGGAGAGCCATGATTGGTATGGGATACAGACAGATCAATGCCGAACATACTGTATTCTTCAGAAGAAGTAGAGGTCACATCACTATGCTAGCAGTGTATGTGGATGACATGATTATCACAGGAAATGATGAGAAGGAGATTGCTCAGCTCAAGGTAAGATTGAGCAAAGAATTCGAAGTGAAGGATCTTGGTCAGCTTCGATACTTCCTTGGGATAGAGATAGCTCATGGACCTAAGGGGATTATTCTCTCCCAGAGGAAGTATGCGTTAGATCTTCTTGCAGAGACAAGGATATTGGGGTACAAGCCTGCTGCTACACCGATTGATCAGAGTCTCAGGCTGAGTGCTGAGGCAGGAGAACCTGTTGATCGTGAGAGATATCAGAGATTGGTGGGTAGGCTGATCTACCTGAGTCACACACGTTCAGATATCTTATTTGCGGTCAGCATGGTAAGCCGCTATATGCATGACCCGAGAAAGGGTCATATGGATGTTGTGTACCAGATACTAAGGTATCTAAATGGTGCCCCTGGCAAAGGACTAAGATTCAGGAGTGGTCATGTGAACATTGAGGGCTACTGTGACTCAGATTGGGCTAGCTACGGAGATGATCGGAGGTCTACCTCAGGGTATTACATATTTGTAGGAGGCAACTTAGTCTCCTGGAAAAGCAAGAAGCAATCTGTGGTGGCAAGATCAACAGCTGAAGCTGAGTACAGAGCCATGGCCTTGGGGTTGTGGAGCTGATATGGCTGAAAAACATGCTGGTGGAGCTGAACCTTGACCAATGGGCTAAGATGAGTTTGTGGTGCGACAACAAGTCAGCTATCAGTATCGTCAACAACCCAGTTCAACATGACAGAACTAGGCACATCGAAATTGATAGATTCTTCATCAAGAAGAAGCTGAACAGTGGGCTACTGGAGTTAGGTTATGTCCTAACTAAGGAGCAGGTTGCAGACTGCTTGACTAAAGGGCTTAGCTCAGTAGATTTAGCTAGAGGGTATGACAAAATGGGTTTAATAGATATCTTTTGCTCATCTTGAGGAGGAGTGTTGAGAATGAAACGCAATTAAAGGGCTTTTAGAGGGCCTTTGTGTAAACCTGTTATGTAAGTCTATATAAGCCAACATTATATCAATGAGAACTGAGAGAAAAACCCTAATATTTCAATAGGCACCGTTTCTGGGATCACGATGCGCGCAAGGTAGTGCGCAGTCGTGACGTCGTTTTCCATGAGAATGCGGTGTATAAGACCAAAGAGATGAGTGGGAGTCAGCTATCTCCTCCTCTTTTCCCAGATATTACTGACAGTGAGGACGACAGTGAGATACTAATTAGCATAGAAGACGGAGACCAAGAGAACATGCCGAATGCACAGTAGCAGGATTCAATAGAGTTACCGATCGCAATTCGCAAAGCTCTAAGAAATCCGAGGGTGCCAGAGAGGTACATTTTCATCATGAATTATCTTCTCCTGACTGACAGTGGTGAGCTAGAGAGCTATGAGAAGGTACAGCAGACCGTCAAAGCTCGCGACGAGTGGGAGTCTGTCATGGAGGAAGAAATAAAATCCTTAATGAAGAATGAGACTTGGGAGCTCGTAAAGCTTCCAAGAGGACGAAAGGTTCTTCACAATCGGTGGATTTATCAGGTCAAGGATGAAGCCGATGGACGGAGACGCTATAAGGCGAGGCTTGTAGTGAATGACTATAAGCAGAAAGCAGGGATATATTATTCTGACGTTTTCACTCCCGTCATCAAGTTGACTACGATCCGAACTGTGCTGAGCATTGTGGCAGTTCGAGATCTCCATCTAGAACAGATGGATGTGAAGACGTCATTCCTTCATGAAGATTTAGAGGAAGAGATCTATATGCATCAACCAGTGGGCTTCGAGGAACGAGACAGAGAGGGCCTCGTGTGTCGCCTGCGCACGAGTTTGTATGGCATGAAATAAGCTCCGCGATAGTGGTACATAAAGTTCGAGAACTTTATGGAGGAGAACGGTTTTCTTAAATGCGACACATACCACTACTGTTTTATCAAAAGATATGGTGAATCCTATATGATACTCTTGATTTATGTTGATGACATGCTGATTGTCGGGCCCGACTTGGTCCGTATTGAAGAACTCAAGGGGCGTCTTTCTGAGTGCTTCGAGATGAAGGATCTGGGTCCAGCAAATCAGATTCTTGGGATGAGGATCATCAGAGACAGATCAACACGGAGGTTGAGGTTATCTCAGAAGGCCTACATTGAGAAGATTCTTGAAAAGTTTAGCATGAAAAAAGCTAAACCGATGGGCTCACCGTTTGCGAGCCATTTCAAGCTATCAAAGACGCAAGCATCAGAGACTACTGAAGAGCATGAGTTTATGACCAACATACCATACGCATCTGCCGTCGGGAGTTTGATGTATGCGGTGGTGTATACGAGATCAGATATTGCACAAGGAGTGGGAGTTGTGAGCCGCTTCATGAGCAATCCGAGGAAACAACACTGAGGTGCGGTCAAGTGGCTTCTACGCTACTTGAGATGCTCATCTGACTGTTGTCTTGAGTATGGCGGGACAGATTTGCAGCTAGAGGGTTTTTGTGATGCAGATTACGCAGGGGACATAGACTCAAGAAAGAGCACGAGCGGTTACATCTTCATCTTGGGTGGTGGAGCGATAAGTTAGAGATCCAAGTTACAGGATACTGTGACTTTGTCAATAGTCGAAGCCGAGTACGTGTCTGCAGCAGAGGCAACAAAGGAGTTGCTATGGTTGAAGGCTTTTCTTCTCGAGTTTGGAGTAAGCTTTGAGAAATACTTCATCCACTACGACAGTCAGAGTGTCATTCACTTATCAGAGAACGACGCATTCCATGCTCGGACCAAGCATGTTGACGTGAAACACCATGCCATACAGAGATGGCAAAGCAAGAACGAGTTCAAGCTTGTGAAGATTGATACGAGGTACAATCCAGCTGATATGCTGACCAAACCCGTTCCGCTCGAGAAGGTGAGGCTGTGTGCAGCCTCATATGACTTCCGTTAAAAATATTGAGGGCCGTGCAAGACGTCAAAGATACATGACATCCGGATGATGCAGTCAAGAGCGGTGTGAAGATATGATCAATATTCAATCAAATCTTCAAGTGAGAGATTGTTAGCAGCCCACGTTTTTTCTGCCGCTCACCTTCTTTGACAAAGAAGGAAAACAGTGGCCGAAATTTTGGAAAAAGAAAAAGGATACGGGTCCCACAAATATATTATTATTAGTGATGGTCCTACTAATAATATTTTATTTGTGCATAGTATTTCTCAAACAGTATAAATAGGGTCCTAAACCCTTAAGGAAAACTCATCACAGAAACAACTCCTCTTATAGAAGAGTAAGAAAGAAAACACAGAGAGAGTTTGTGAGAGTTCTTGGAGTGTATCTGATCAAGAGAAGGTGTTCTCTTTGATCTATTCTTTTGGAATATAAAAGAATTTGGCGTCGTCGTTGTACCGTGGAGTAGCTCCGAAGGAGTGAACCACGTATATCTATGAGTACTGTGTTTAATATTGTGTCTTTATTCTGTGTATTACGTCTCTGTTCGAGACGTTATTGTTGGTGTGTACCCTAACAACTCCTCCCTTCCCCTCTTAACAAAAGCTATCTAAAGGCCAGTAGGGGAGAAATACAGTGTATTAATTTTATTTTACGACGGTTAACAATGATTTTAACTTTTAATCATGGGGCACGAATTGGATTGCCAAAAAATTTCTGTTATTTTCTTAATTGTCATTGCGGCTACCAAATATACACTTGAGAAATGATGTTTTGTGTCGTTATCTGTAATAATGTGGAACTGAGGATTGTTTCTTTCTGATGACAAACAGATTCAGTCACTTGAAGATGGTGCAGACTTGTTGAGGGAAAGATGTCTGAAGTTTTACAAGGGCTGTAGGAAGTACACGTATGTGAATATACACTTGCCTCTGATCTATAAAGTGAACTTAAGTTTTCTCCCTTGGAGTGTCTTTTACTTTGGAATTAGCTGCACGTGTTAAGGTTTCATGTGTGTTTGAAATTATATAATAATACAAATGATTCCGGATGCATATACCAGTCTTCCCTCCATATTAATGACACATTCTACTTTTTTATCTGCAGAGAACGCCTTGCTGGGGGATATGATGGGGATGCTGGTTTAGCGACTGCTCTTGAGATGTTTGGTGGTGGGCACAATGATCCTATAAGTGTCGCTTTTGGAGGTTAATTACATGTTGACAGTTACTTTTAGCTATTTTTTCTCTTTAATTCTCTTTTTCTGCTCAGGCATAGCTTTAATTTTCACAGTATAGATAATGTTGGGCGCAGAGTCACGCCCGCCGCCGCGGAAGCGATATCAACTGAGAGAAAGCCCTGGCTTTTGTTGTCACAAAAGCACAAGTCAACCTCTATATTCTTGTTTCTCGAAGGAAACGAGAATAGATAATAAAATTCTTATTTCTCAAAGGAAACAAGAATCGAAAGTGATATATTTCATCAAAGTGAAATATACACTCTTCCTCTCATCAGCTCTAAGACCGAATTTTGAGGGATCCTACAAGCAATAGCCAACAACCCAGAAAACAGTAAATACACGAGATTTACGTGGTTCGGCAAACTTGCCTACGTCCACGGGAGGGGTGAGGGGAGATTCCACTATAAGGAGAACACCGACGACTTGTACAATCCACAAGCTCGTCTCAAAGAAAAATAGATCTGATTTTTACCCAAAAGAAATAAACCTCTCTTTTGTAAAACCCTATTTTCTCTGCCCAGTGCCCACATAGCACACGTGGTGTGTCCCCCACGTGACACCACTCTGTTCACAATTCTCCACCTCGTACATCATTTGATAAACCTCAAATTTTGGACGAACATCAGAAGAACACCGCGAACATCACCAGAGAGATCACCATCGGCCAAACCAGACCAAACCAGCTGCGCCACTTTACCGTGACTGCCTACGTACCCTCCACCGGGATCAAGCTAACCGTAGTTCTGCCTTTGTTCTCCATATAGTCTCCACCTCACCCCATCACCGCCCCGAAGGGCCATGCCCTCTTGGGCAAATCAACACGGGCTGATATGAAGCAAGTCCAAACAATGCTTAAACTTGCTACCTGTGACCACCTTGGTTAACATGTCTGCGGGATTATCATTCGTATGCACCTTCATGAGAGAAATATCACCTTCCTCTATGACGTCCCGTACGAAATGATACCTGACATCGATATGCTTGGTACGAGCATGATGAACTTGATTCTTCGCCAAGTGAATCGCACTCTGACTGTCGCACCACAAGTTCACGTTATCCTGCTCAATCCCCAAATCGTCTAGAAGACCCCACAACCACAATGCTTCCTTCACTCCCTCCGCCATGGTCATGTACTCGGCCTCTGTAGTAGAAAGTGCCACTGTAGCCTGCAATATCGATCGCCAACTAACTGGAGCTCCATGTATCTTGAATACATAACCAGTAGTAGATCGCCGTCTATCTAGATCACCCGCATAATCAGAGTCAACAAACCCATCAATCTGACATGTATCTCCACCAAAACACAGACCCGTATCTGCGGTACCTTTTAAGTACCTCAGGACCCATTTCACTGCTTCCCAGTGCGCCTTTCCCGGATTCGCCATGAACCTGCTGACCACACTAACCGCTTGTGAAATATCTGGACGTGTACACACCATGGCGTACATCAAACTGCCAACTGCACTAGCATAAGGAACACGCTCCATGTGTGCCTTATCTTCCGCTGTAGTGGGAGATTGTTTACCTGAAAGCCTGAAGTGTGGAGCCAATGGGGTCGCCACCGACTTAGCACTTTGCATCCCGAACCTCGCGATCACCCGCTCTATATAGCCCTTCTGACTCAAGAACAATCGCCGATTCTCCCGCTCTCTTCTAATCTCCATACCCAGTATTTTTTTAGCAGCGCCCATGTCCTTCATCTCGAACTCTTTACCAAGTTGAGATTTCAACCTATCTATCTCCACCCCGCTCTTAGAAGCAATAAGCATGTCATCCACATACAAAAGGAGATAGATATAATCACCTCCACGAAGCTTCCGAATGTAAACACAGCAATCATAATCGCTTCGGGAAAACCCATGCTTCAGCATGAAGGAGTCAAATCGCTTGTACCACTGCCGAGGAGATTGCTTCAGTCCATAGAGTGACTTCCTCAAGCGACATACATGATGCTCCTTATCCTCAACCTTGTAGCCCTCAGGTTGATGCATATAGATCTCTTCATCCAAGTCTCCGTGCAAGAAGGCCGTTTTAACATCGAGTTGTTCCAGCTCAAGATCACCATGAGCAACAATACTCAATAGCACCCGAATAGAAGTGTGTTTCACCACCGGAGAAAATATCTCATTGTAATCCACACCCTCTCTTTGTGCAAACCCTTTAGCCACTAGTCTCGCCTTGTACCTTGTACCATCGAGCTCTGAAGGATCTTCCTTTCTCTTATACACCCACTTACAACCAATAGCTTTTCTTCCTACGGGCAATAGGACTACCTCCCATGTTTGGTTCTTCCGAAAAGATTCTATCTCCTCCTCCATCGCAACCAACTAACTCTTACTATCTCTATCCCGAATAGCTTCCTTGAAGGAGACCGGCTCATCTTCCTCCACCGAGAGTGCGCACTCAACCAAATTAACTTGCCCATAATGTTTCAGGGGTTGATTAGACCCCGTTTTTGTACCTGCTTGTATGCTCGCCTTGACCTAGTGGAAGCCAAACTATCTTCGAGCTGTTATTGTTGTAATACTTGTACATTTTCTTGCTAAACCTCCTCCTATTCAAACTTATCATATTCATGATTCTCCTCTTGAACATGACTAAAACCTGGTTGGTCTTTAGGCTCTATTTCAATCACCTGAGACTTAAAAGTCCCAACAGTCTTAATACCATCGTTCTTGGATGTCCTGGCAATCATGGATTTCTCATCAAAGATAACATCTCTGCTGATCAAGAATTTAGAATCTTCTGTATATCAAAGGCGATAGCCTTTTACGCCCTTTGTATACCCTAAGAATATTATCTTTTTGGCCCTCACGTCAAGCTTTCACTCGTTAACGTGATAGTAGGCAGTACATCCAAAAATCCTGAGCCTATCATAATCTACATGCTTCCCTGAACATACCCGATAGTGTACATCATCATCCAATGTCAAATGTGGAGAACGGTTCACTATGTAACAAGCTGTAACAATCGCTTCTGCCCACCATTCTTTACCCAAACTAGCATGTGATCGCATACTCATTGTTTCCTCCCGCAATGTACGATTCAGTCTCTTTGCGACTCTATTCTGCCGTGGTGTGGACCCGACTGTCCAGTGCCGAGCAATACCCTCCTGATCACAGAACTCCTTGAAAATACTGTCTGTATACTCTGTACCATTATCAGATCCTAGTGTCTTTAATTTTTTGCCTGTCCTGTTCTTAAACATTGCTTTCCACTTCTTGAATGTCTCGAATACATCATTCATATGCTTAAGAAAATAAATCCAAGCATACCTAGAATAGTCGTCTATGAACGAGAGAAAATATCTGGAACCACCCTTGGAAGTTGTCTGAACTGGACCCCAAATATCTGTATGCATATAATCTAATATACTTCTGCTCTTGTGCTTGCTTTTTAAGAACTGGACCCTGTGCGCCTTTCCATACACACAATCCTCACCAAAATCTATGCAAGGTTTCTTCATATTCTTTAGCAAACCCTCCTTACCAAGCAGATCTAGACCATTCTCTAACATGTGCCTAAGCCACCTATGCCATAATCGTGTGTGCTCATATGGGTCTCTACTACTTTCTTCGGTTCTAACCGCTGCATCTCATGTCACCGTCGTACCCGAGAGAGTATATAGGTTACCGTAACGAACTCCCTTCATCACTACTAGGGAGCCTCGAACAACCTTCTTCACTCCATTCTCTGTAATAATATTGCAGCCACCAGAGTCCAATGCATCAATTGAGATAAGATTTTCCCGCAAGTCGAGAACGTGCCTCATATCCGTCAGGGTTCTGACCACTCCATCATACATCTTGATTTTTATATCACCTAGCCCCATCGTTTTACAAGCATGGTTATTCCTTATTAATACGGTTCCACCATTAATGTTTCTGTAGGTAGTGAACTTCCTACTTGGGTACATGTGGTAAGAGCATCATGAATCAAGAATCCACTTCCTGGAGATATCCTCACCACCCGTTACGCCCTTTGAATACCCCAAGAATATCGCCTTCTTGGCCCTCGCGTCAAGCTTTCCCTCGTTGACGTGATAATAGGCGGTACATCCAAAAATTCTGAGCCTCTCATAATCTGCATGTTCCCCTGACCACACCCTATAGGGTGTATCACCATCCAATGTCGAATGTGGAGAACGGTTCACAATGTAACATGATGTAGCCACCGCTTCTGCCCACCATTCGTTGCCCAATCCAGCATAAGATCGCATACTCATTGCCTTCTCTCGCAATGTTCGGTTCAGTCTCTCCGCGACCCCGTTCTGCTGTGGTGTTGACCTGACTGTCCAGTGTCGAACAATGCCCTCCTGATCACAGAACTCCTTGAAAGCACCGTCTGTATACTCTGTACCGTTGTCAGATCTCAGTGTCTTTAATTTCTTACCTGTCCTGTTCTCAACCATTGCTTTCCACTTCTTGAATGTCTCGAATACCTCATTCTTATGCTTAAGAAAATAAATCCAAGCATATCTCGAATGATCATTTATGAACGAGACAAAATACCTGGAACCACCCTTGGAAGTTGTCTGAGCCGGACCCCAAACATCCGTGTGTACATAATCTAGTATACCTCTGCTCTTGTGATTGCTTTTCAAGAATTGGACCCTGTGCGCCTTTCCATACACACAATCCTCACAAAAATCCATGCAAGGTTTCTTCAGATTCTTCAGCAAACCCTCCTTACCAAGCAGAACTAGACCCTTCTCTGACATGTGCCCAAGCCGCCTATGCCATAACCGTTTAATAACTCTGTGATAAAGCATACAAAAGGGTATTTTTGGCAATCCAACTCCCAAAATTACTGTTTGGGAGTGGATATAGCAATCGTGCCTTCATCACTGTTAGGGAACCTCGAACAACCTTCTTCACTCCGTTCTCTGTAACAATCTTGCAGCCACCGGAGTCCAATGCACCCACTGAGATAAGATTCTTCCGCAAGACGGGAACGTGCCGCACGTCCGTTAGAGTTCGAACCACTCCATCATGCATCTTGATTTTGATATCACCTAACCCCACCGTTTTACAAGCATGGTTGTTCCCCATCAATACGGTTCCACCATCAATGCTCCTGTAGCTAGTAAACCACTTCCTATTTGGACACATATGGTAAGAGCAACCAGAATCAAGAATCCACTTCCCGGAGGTATCCTCGCTACCCGTAACAACATAGCATTCTTTATCGCTCCCTTTGCAATCTTTCGAAGGTCATCCCCTAGAAGCGCCGTTCTAGTCTCATCCATCGTCAAATTGTCTCCCACAAGCATCAATGTTTGCACCAGGTTCTCATAAGACTTCGGCAGAGATAGAAGTAATAGAAGAGCCTGATCCTCATCTTCTACAGTCACATCGATGTCCTTCAGATCCGATATAATCCTATCGAACTTGTTGATATATTCCCGGATTGATGAGCCCTCCTCCATCTTGCAAGTATACAATTTGGATTTCAAATAGATCCGGTTTGTTAGACTCTTCGTCATGAAGGTGCTTTCTAACTTCAACCACACGCCCGCGGTCGTTTCCTCTCCATCTACCAAGAAAGCTACATCCCTTTCAAGGCAAAGGATAATCGACGCCCGTGCTTCCAGATCCAGCTCCTCCCAATCCTCATCAGACATATCCTTGTGCTTCTTCTCTTTTCCCGCCAAAGCTTTGTGCAATTTCTGCGAAATCAACGTGTTCTTCATCTGCATCCTCCAATAGGAAAAATCATTCTTCCCATTGAATTTTTCAATCTCGTATTTTCCCACTTTAACTGTTTTACTTGTTGACGCCATTTTCCGCTTGTATTAATGAATCCGCTTCTCTCAGAAAATTACCGAGCACCACCTCAAATCAGAAGCTACACCACTCCCAATCTGAATAACAGCTCTGATACCAATTGTTGGGCGCAGAGTCACGCCCGCCGCCGCGGAAGCGATATCAACTGAGAGAAAGCCCTGGCTTTTGTTGTCACACAAGCACAAGTCAACCTCTATATTCTTGTTTCTCAAAGGAAACGAGAATAGATAATGAAATTCTTATTTCTCAAAGGAAACAAGAATCGAAAGTGATATATTTCATCAAAGTGAAATATACACTCTTCCTCTCATCAGCTCTAAGACCGAATTTTGAGGGAACCTACAAGCAATAGCCAACAACCCAGAAAATAGTAAATACACGAGATTTACGTGGTTCGGCAAGATTGCCTACGTCCACGGGAGGGGTGAGGGGAGATTCCACTATAAGGAGAACACCGACGACTTGTACAATCCACAAGCTCGTCTCAAAGAAAAGATATCTGATTTTTACCCAAAAGAAATTAACCTCTCTTTTGTAAATCCCTCAAAAACTCTCTCCTTTTATCTCTCCTCTAAAACAGCCGCCAAAAAGAAAAAGAACATAAAAAATCCTCTGCCCTTTTTCGATTTCTCCCTGCAGACCTTTTTCTTTCTCCAAGCCGCTGTCTTTTCCCGTTTTGATCCCCTGCGTTTTGTTTCCCACACTAGCCGAAAATAAACCCTAGCCTTAGGTTTTATAGCATGTTGATGCGGTTTAAAAAATTCACAAAACATGGGCCTGCTTTTACCCGCTACACTCTGTGCCCAGTGCCCACATAGCACACGTGGTGTGTCCCCCACGTGACACCACTCTGTTCACAGATAATAGTATAACTTAGGTCATGTCATCATTCCGTGAAATAATTTGGATAATTCCTTGCTGAACAGGCATACTACAAGGCTGGGAAACCACCTATTGGATTAAATTGAAAATACGCTGAGATAACTTTATTACATGTTTTCCAATTTTATTCCTAGTTATCTATGATATATGAATCATTATATATATGCCTATTGTGACTTTTCTGATCCTCTGTTTTCCATGCTCATATGGACTTAATCTGCAAGAGATCATTTGTAAATTTGTAAGCATCAATCTGTTTTCTTGTAAACATCTCTTTCTTAGCATAAAAATGGATGCAATCTTGCTATGTGATCTCTTCATTTTTTACTTATAATATGATATTGAATGATTTCATCATCATTAAACTACTTCCAAGTTATAGATCTTTACTTGGTTGTCATACAGCTAACTTAAATGCCGGTTATTGGTTTTTTACTGTATTAACACGAAAAACTCAATGTTCTATCTTAATAGCCTACTGATATAGTTATAGTGTTTTGTAGGACCCGTGATGACTAAATTTACTATTGCCTTGAGAGAGATCGGAACATACAAAGAAGTTCTAAGATCTCAGGTAAATGCTCACTTCCCCTGTTGTAAGATGGATGTATTTGTGGTTGTTGGCATTCTTGATGCACTACACATGCCGTTGTCTAAATTTATCCACTTGCTCAACTTAACGTGCCACTGCTATTTTCTCAGTCTACACTCATTGTCATGAGTCTTAGCTTTTTAGACCTTCTAATTCACTTATTACCTAATGCTAGAGGTAGATGAGTTCTAGAGAGATCCAGACAGTTGCATCAATTTTAGAGAGATCTTAACTGTTGTAGAGGAGTTTTAGTGAGATGCAAACCATTACAGGTGAGTTTTGGAGTAATCTGGATCAAGGATCTGAAAGGACTAAGAAGTTTGAAAAAGAGGGAAAATGTGGCCTTATATACTTCACGACTTCAATCAAGGTGCATCCGAGTCAATCTAGTCTGCCTCTCGCAATGTGCCTTTTTTCTGTTGCTAGTTCAATTCAATTAAATGAATTGCACAGATGGCTGCGAGTTGTAACGGACTTCCTTACTTCGGAAGATATCATCTAAGTAATGAATAGAAAACATGCCATAGGAATTAACTACTGCGTGTACTGCTTGATTGTAACTGGTTGCCAATCTGCTTCTTAAACACCTACTTTATGTAGATTAAAATCTCTGTTAGTTCTCCAGCTTCTAACCATGTTTAGGATAGATATTTTCCGACCATCACTCTTCTTATTCCTTTCACTCAGGTTGAACATAATATCTCTGCAAGATTATGTTTTCTCTTGTGCATTATAGATTACCGCCTGAACTGCTAACTGGTTGCCAATCTGCTCCTTAAACACCTACTTTATGTAGATTAAAATCTCTATTAGTTCTGCAGCTTCTAACCATGTTTATAATAGAGATTTTTTCTGACCAGCACTCTGCTTATTATTATTATTTTTTCACTCAGGTTGAACACACTCTAAATGATAGATTGCTGGACTTTGTAGACATTGATTTGCATAATGTCAAGGTACACATATTAACTGTTTCTCTTATGTTTCAATAAAGCAGCACTACTAAAAAATGATGTTTCCCTTTTACTCAGTACTCAAATATTAGTTAAATATTTATCCTAACAATGGCTTAAGTTTCAACCGCAAGGAGATACTTTGGTCATTTTATATTGGTTTTGGACGGATCCATTAAGAATTGGTCGAAGTATATCTTTCAATTGACACCTAATAAATAAGGTCAGAAACAGGCGTTGAAGTGTAACCTTCTCTCGCACAGGTGCTGCAACGTGACTAAGGTTTTGAGAGTCCATTCGTCACCAAATTTTTTTTTAAGACGGCTGATCAAATTTAAATATGTTTGGATTAGCCATATGTTAAATTAACATTATACTAACTGAATCTAGGATAATTGTTATTTTATCCCATCAAACAATATTTTATTTGAACAAACTGATGGACAAATGAGATTTGGAGGGAGTTAAGGGATATGGATAAGCTACTACAGATATGAGTGAATTAAAGTGTCGTCGCAGGTGTATGAATTATGACATATCAACACTAGTCCTACCAATGTATGTCAAACATATCAGTAAAAAATGAGAGTAGTAAACGACAACAACAACAACAAAGGGCTTTATCCCAAATATTTGGGGACGGCTTAACAAGATGAGAGCAGTGTCAGCAAAAAATTATGTTAGTGTTGCTTATTTCTTAGCAATATAAATATTTATTTTTGTATGTTTCTCTTTCATATTTTTATTCTGAAAGCAAAACCATATTGTATGGATACATCTCTTGCAACAGAAACTCTTCTTGTTAGCAAGTTTTACTTGGAATCTTATTGACTAATTTTGGCATTGATATTCTGTATGGAAATGATACTTTGATAGAAACACATGTTGTCAAGATATTTTCATGCCTTATAGTCTTATACATAGACTTCATACTATTATTGATGAATACTGTTTGTACTTGTATGGGAATTTTCAATATATGGTCATAAAAATAAGAAGAAAAAAGTTTATGAATAAAGCAAGCTAGTCAGTCGATTTTTCGAAGAACTCTTAAAAAAATCCCAAAACTGCCAGGAGGAGTACATGCTCTCTGACCTGAAGAAATCTGCACATACAGGCTGGTTGTGTGCTGTGGAGTTTCATTTCCTTTCCTGTTTGTGTCCCTTATTGATTGCCTGGTACAACGAGTGAATTTATTGTAGAAAGAATGAAAATAAAGTGAAAAACTAAGCAACCATGTTATACCTGGAAGTAGGCATGTGGCCTCCTTGTGAATGTGGCATGAGGTTTCTAGAGTAAACTTAAAGGTGACTTGAGCTAGATTTCCAACTTCTCTCACATTACAAGAATAAAATTTTCTGAAAGAACCTCACTGTATTCTGTCTGCACCGTTTGCTATGCAGCAGGAAGAAACATAAACATCGAACACATAATTGATTTAGAGTGGCTGAATGTCCTTGAATGTATTTAAATTCCTGAACTGCTATTATTCATTAACATTCTACTGTACTTTTTTTAGAATTATATTTTTGTTCCAAACTTTTCAAGCAATTCTCCACCATCGAAACTAAATGAAAAATAAAGCCTTTCTTGTGAGTTATCAAAATGAACATGCTCCTCCACTTCACGTACATGTCCTCTGTGGATTAGAAATTTAACAGATGGAAACAAAGGTAAAACTTCTGCCTTCTTGTGTCTATTTTGTTGTGCAATGAATATCAAAGAACAAAACATAATCTTGCACGAGACGTTAGATGTTACTTAGTTACTGCCTGTATTAGGTGGCCTACTAAAGAGTACATATTGCTCCTTATCTCCGGTGAAAATTTTTCCATTTCAATTGTTTTCATCCAACTTTGACAAGTGCTCCGCAACTGTGCCAAGAAAATGGGTGCAAGCTGATTATTGGGAAAACATGCAGCTGAAATAGACAAATTACAGAAATGAAGCTTCCTTTTTTTCTTTTTCTTTTTTGTGGGGTTTGGGGGGGGGGGGGGGGGGGGGGGGGGGGGGGGGGGAAAAATGTAAGGAAGAGAGCCTACCTGGTGTTGCAATAACAACTTTCTGGTCGCAATAACCATAGTATCGTCATAGTTCTTCGCCCTTTTCTTATGGTGCTGTTTTAGGGTTTTAAATAAAAGGTGGTTTGTTGGTGGTGAGGGTTTGATTTGATCTCATTAGTTCTACCGATGGATGCTTTTCAGATTGAAAATGTCTTATCCATTTATCTTTGATGTTGGGAGCTCCGATGTGAGTTTAACTTAAATCATGAAGCCATTTTACAAATGGCCCCTCCGAGGTTAGCAAAATGACTTAATTAAGATTTATTATGATTATATCCGATAAGAAGATACGGTTTTGCATCTAATCCCAAAACTAGCCCTTCTGTTCTTTAACATTTCATATTAACAAGGTTGTAACTTGTAAGTTATATGATAGAATGTCATGAATACTTTGTATAAAAAATTTCTGATGTTTGTAGTTCTTTGTTCTACAAAGAAACTTTATGTTATTTTCTTTTCTTCTTCAAATTAGATTTGGTCATTTACCTGGACATGATTTCAGTATTGTCTGCAACGATTCCTATTCTGAAGAACTTGCTGAGTTTTATTGCCTCAGAAATCAACACTGTATGTGTTATAATTAGATTACCTTTTGCAGGATGCACGTAAACGTTTTGATAAGGCTAGCCTTGTGTATGACCAGGTATGTCTCAGAAATGTCCATTTTGCATTTGGACTAGTCTTTGACAATTGACATGTTGTTCTGTACTACAAGTAGCTTGTTATGTTAAAAGAGCGTGTACGCTATGGAAAAGCAAATATAACCACCGTATGATATCTCCAACATCTGCTTGATCTTTCACTGCAATAATGAAAGGGAGGGTTATGGCTGGTCTTTAACCTGAATGGTGGGGAATATACTTGAGGTGGGTATCTCCCTATGGTTACTGGGTATTTAAAAGGAAATATAAACATTTCTCGAATCGTCTTTGATATAACTTATAAAGACATTGCATATGAAAATAAAGAATTTAGCGGTGAGTGTCTATTACACTTGAGAGTAAGGGTTCAACAGGAACGGGTTGGGTGTTCAACCAGACCCAATTATTAGAGGGTCTGATTCCTGTTCATCAGCTGATTGTATATTCTTGTCAATTATTTTTCTCATCTTCTACTTGTACTCCAAACGATGCTGTTCTGGTTGTATTACAGGAAAGAAGGCTTAGAAGATGATGTCCATCAAGAAGATGAGAGAAGTTTTGGGTAGTCAAAAGAATGTTGCAGAGTTCAATTAGTTTTTATTGAATTTGTAATTATGTTGCTCTGATTAGATAGTAGGATACAATTTCTTTTTAGTAGTAGGGTAGCAGGATACACTCTTGTTGGTAGTAGGAAAATCTAATAGCCAGGCTGCGTCACCTAATTTTTTTTTCATCTGACGTGATCCTGACATCTGACATTTAGAAAACCGGTTGTAGTTACTTACTAGCTAGCGCCGGGAAACCATTTAGTGAAAGCTTAAACTTCTAACTAAGTAAATAAGATAGCATGACCACTTGACAACTCCTACATGCTTAATTAGCATCTCAATAGTTGGCGATTCTTTGATTCCAAGTTATGCGCAATCCCCAATTGGGGTTCTGATATTGACCACTTCCACTGTGCATTTTATCAACAGGCTCGGGAGAAGTATTTATCACTGAAAAAAGGAACAAGAGCTGACATAACCACCATCTTGGAGGATGTAATAATCGACTGCCTTTCTTAAGTGAAGTGGATTATTAAAATGAATGTGCTAAGATCCTTTTGTGTATATGTCCTTTAAGGGACCTTATGTTTTCTGTTCCTAACAGGAGCTACACAGGGCTAGATCTTCATTTGAGCAGGCCAGATTCAATCTGGTAAGTTCAATTATTATAATTGTGAGCATCTGTTCTCTGCTGTTTTCTTACTTTCTTTTAGATGAACTAAGTAACTCATGAATACATACACACGTACAACATATGCTGAATCCTTCTTCCAGGTTACTGCTCTTTCACATATTGAGGCAAAAAAAAGATATGCATTTTTGGAGGCTGTTAGTGGGATGATGGATGCACATCTTTGTTTCTTTAAACAGGTATCTGTGTCATGATTTTTACATTGTCTTATTATTTATTTCGTCATGTTTCACCTATGTTAGACTCTTTTTCTGTGATATGCTATCAGGGGTATGAACTATTGCATCAGATGGAGCCATATATTAAACAGGTATTTGTTTTCCACTCTGTGCACTAAATGTCGTCCTCTATGTTCACATGCTAGAAACACACCAATGGTTGCGTAGTTATATTTTATAGACTTTAAAGTAGGCATCTCAGCTTAATATACTTTTCTAATTTCCCCACTTTTTTTTGTTGAGAAAACTCTCTTATTGCTATCCTAGCACGCACTGCTTTAAATTTTTCATCCAAATAGAATTTTGCATTGCCTGAGAAATGGGCAGTGATTTTCATGGGATTATGATGTCTTGAAGGTTTTGGCATATGCACAACAATCAAGACAAAGGTCTAATTATGAACAGGAAGCCCTTACAGAGAGGATGCAGGAGTTTAAGAGGCAAATTGATCGAGAAAGTCTTTCATCCTCATATGGTTTGTTTGATTCTCCTAACGGAGATGGCATACAAACCCTTGGTAGGAGCTCCTACAAAATGATAGAAGCGGTGATGCAGACAGCTGTTAAGGGAAAGGTACTAATTTTTCTAGGCATATTTATGACTGTGTTACCATTCTGTTCAAAAAATGGTGGATGTAAGCAATGGAATCATATAGCAGGGCTCTGAATATTTGGACACAAACCTAGTCATCATTGCTATTATATAGCTCTGCTAGCATTCTGCTACAGAGATCTGAAAAATTTTCCATGTAAAGTTGACGACAGCTAGTTATATTTCTTGTGAAGCCTCTGGGATAGAAAATTGCATATTTTTTTGGTAAGATTCTTGTTAGGAACCTTCTGCGAAAAACATGCCTTTCTTCACTTAGGGACTATTTGTTGCGGTGAAAGATAAAATCTTCTGCATTTGCTAATATATTGCATATTGAAGTATTTCATTCAAAAGTATTCCCATGAATTCACACTCACAATATTGGACCATTCATGTGAAATTTGTGATGGACTTTCTTTAAAAATAAACCAGCCCTCTTTCCAAGAGCATTGCAAAACAACTTTCGTGAGAAAAGTGTTGCAAATGTGTTGCAGAAAAAATGTGCCCCTTCTCCTAACACTTTCTGCAGTTGCAACTTCATTTTAAAAATAAATGAATACTGAAAAAGAAAGTGTTTGCTGCAAAACGAATTCCAAGAAAAGAAAACACCGTTGAAGAACAGACCCTTAATCACAAGATTTAACTTACAGTCGATATTATATCTTATTCATAATTTCTTTATGACAGTGCAGGTTCAAACTATTCGGCAAGGTTATCTTTCAAAGCGGTCATCAAATCTGCGAGGTGACTGGAAGAGAAGGTTTTTTGTCCTTGATAGTCGAGGAATGTTGTATTACTACCGCAAGCAGCTTACCAGGCCATCTGTAAGGTTTCCTTGTTCTTAAAGGGACCCGTTAGATTAGTACCTAATACCTATATTGTGCATAGTACATCTTGGCCTACGTTATTTGACTTCTTTCCCCCTTTTCTTGCTATATTGGTCTGTCATTTGCATGATAGGGAGTTGTTAACCATCATTTGCATCATAAGGCTCAAATATCCTCTGAGAATGGCTCTGGGTTGTTGAGCCGGTGGTTCTCTTCTCACTATCATGGTGGTGTAGATGAGAAGTCCGGAGCACGTCATACTGTGAACTTGCTTACATCAACCATTAAAGTTGACGCAGATCAGTCAGATTTAAGATTCTGCTTTAGAATTATTTCACCAACAAAGAATTACACATTACAGGTACTGTGTTTGGTTACTGTAGTGGTTTTTCAGAATGTCTTCTAGATTGAGATCTTGAGGTTTTCATTCTATCAGCTGCTTCTCGTGTTGTTGATTTAGGCTGAGAGTGCTATGGATCAGATGGATTGGATTGAAAAAATAACGGGTGTTATTGCTTCTCTATTGAGTGCTCAATTCCCAGAACAGGTTAGTTACTAGTTAATAAAATCACATCACCAGCAAGTTATTTTCACGTTTCATGCTGAATAATTTTCCTAATTTAATTTCAGTGCCCCCTAGCTAGTGCCAGTGCTTCCAATGAGAGTTCATTTGGTAGCTCATCAGATCTGGACCATTCTGTTGAAGTATCATCTCTAGAGAAGAACTGTGTTTCAAGCCATTCTGGACGTACTGCCAGAAGTTCACAGCAACATAGATTCAATGTCGAACATGAAAAGCCAATTGATGTGCTCCAAAAAGTATGTGGCAACGATGTTTGTGCCGATTGTGGAGCTGCTGGCCCCGATTGGGCATCTCTGAACCTAGGGTTGCTTGTATGCATTGAATGTTCTGGGGTTCATCGCAATCTTGGAGTGCATATATCAAAGGTACGGTAGCTATAAATTTGGAATTTATCACATTATTAGTAACACCCTCTTCATTAGTGAAGGTTCATTCATACGTTTTGCTTACAGGCATATGAACCTCTCCTTTTTATAATCCCCTTGTCCTCTGACTTTATCCTGTGTTGTAACCCTTGAGTTGTGGGGGAATCCAGTAATAAATGTGCATCCATGTGCTTGCATTGCTCTGTTCTAACACCTGGGGCAAACTAGTTATCAATAGAGTAGTGTGCTGTAAAGAAACATCGTCTCAGAACATTGTCTAGTTTTAGAAATGACTTCTCCATTAGGAATATAATTATCACTTGCATTTAAAACTTCGCAAGGAACATTGTATTGACACTTAATCCAGTTTTAGAAATGATTTCTCCACTAGGGATATTAATTATCATTTACTTTTGGAATTTCACAAAGAATATTGAAGTTAGGGGGAAATAAGTTGAAGCAATACATCGCTGACTCCACTCTAGTTGTGAGACATTCAATCTGCACTCGCATCTAAAAAGATTTGCCACAACTGACCCTCCAAAAGTATGACGAACAATCATAATGGATGGTCCACACCGATTATCACGCTCTCTACTGTCTGAATTGTATTTTGAGGGATATGAAGGAGTTTGAAGCCTTCTCAGCCATGTAATAAGTGGGTGATAAAAGAACGCTATTTCAATGTATAAGATGTATTTCACTTGAGGAATTATCTTATTCCTTGCTCACAATCATTTTCATGTTGCTCGAGTTTTGGTGCAAGATCTTCACATAATTTCATTCATCTTTCAAGATCTCACAAAATCCTAACAAGGGTGCTATAGAAACCTTAAGCTATGGCAGTTATACTTTACATTTTTGTGCAACTCAATTTTTTAAAGATCAGAATTGTTTACTTGTATGCATCTTAGCATAATGATAGTTTTGAACATAGTTGCATGGAACTCGGTTCGTTCTGGTTCACAGGACGGGTATGGGCGTGGTACGGCACTCATTAGGAATTGGGTACGAAGGGGATAGGCTTATGTTGAGAATGTAATGCAATTAAAGAGTTTTAGGGGGCTTTTGTGTAAACATGTGTGTAAGGCTATATAAGCCAACAATTCTATCAATGACAAGAGACTTTGAAGCCCTAATTTCTCAATATGGTATCAGAGCTGTCTAACCTAGCCGTCGCCTCTCCCTTTGTCTGGTGAACCCGACGTTTTCTCAAGCTCGTCGACGACGACAACGCCGCCCGACCAAGTCCCGACGAAGACGACGCCAGCTCGATCAAGTCCCGACGAAGACGACGTCTGACCAGATCCCGACGAAGAAGACCAGATCCCGACGAAGAAGCCGCCGTTGCCGCCGCTCCTGAATCCTCCGCCTGATTCTCGGATTGTTCGGTGCTGGGGCTGGTTTTTTCGGGGCAGATGGAGGCGTTGTTGAGGTCTCAACAGAGAGGAGATGAGGTCTCCTGAGAATCGCCTGGGAGGGAGAGCTTGGAGCAGTGAAGATCGTAACTAGGGTTTGGGGCGGTGGAGCAATTGGATCTGCAGTTTTTTTTTGGTTGAAAGGGGGATCGAAAGGCTTCCAGACGTGGAGATGGAAGGCGCAAGATTCGATCTTGGAGGTCACCGCCTTCGGAGTCATCAACGCATTGGAGAGATGGGATCCTGGTTCGTTTTCTTTTAAAGGAGTTCTCTTTATTAAATGATTAAGTAGTTAGTGTTGCATTCCTGGTGTAAGAGAACGAGCAGAGAGTTTCGTTCATAAATGTGCAGTAATGGGTTGTTGAGGTGAAAAATAACAATTTATGGCATGATTAGAGGAAGAGGATTGAGTATCTGGTAATATCCTGTGGATTGCATTGGTGTGAGGAACCGAATACAAGTTGAATTGATGGCAGAGACTGGCAAAAATCCGATGGAGGATATCATCAAAAAATTGAATTCTGAGGAGATCTCAACACTGATGCAACTGATGAAGTTGTCGGCAGGAGAGGGCTCGACAAAACCACCACCCAAGAAGGTGGAGCTTCCACCTATTGATGTAAAACTTGATGGACCCACGACATATCTGAGTTGGTCGCGCCGCGTGAGATATACCCTTGCCGGGAGGAGCCTGGAGGGATATCTGACGGGAGAGAAAACTGAGCCAGCTGAGGGCTCCGCAGGGATAGATGAGTGGAAGTCCACTCATATGTTGGTATACATCTGACTTCTGAATTCCGTAGTCCAGCCAATTGCTGCCACAGTGGATGGGCTTGGGGGGGGGCAGGATGTCTGGGAGAAGCTGAGGAGGACCTATGATGGGGTGGGGAATAACCTGAGGGTATTCCAGATCGAGAAGGAGATCAGTGCTACAGTCCAGGGAGAGAGGACTATACAGGAGTACGCCACAGAGTTGGAGCGCTTGTGGCTCGATCACGATCATTTCTCGCCCCTTGCGAGCTGCAAGGACCCGGAGTGCAAGGAGCGCGAGGCCTCTTTGCAGAGGAGGACTATGTTATTTCTCCGAGGCTTGGCTCCAGCATATGAGCAGAGGACGGCGCTGCTACTAACCCAAACGAAGATCCCACCACTGGAGGAGGCAGTCTCGGCCATGATACAGGAGGAGAGCCGTATCAAGCTACAGGCTGGGACATGTGGACTTACAGGGGAGAAGTCTGCACTGGTGGTCTCTAACCCAGGTAACACTGGATTCAGAGGGGAGACTAGGCAGTGCTTCAACTGTGGAGATATAAGCCATCTAAAACAGATGTGCCCTAAGCCACCCAAGGAGAAGGACTGGGGTGGACGTGGTCAGGCTGGAGGCCGTGGCCGTGGCCGTGGAGGCAGGCGAGGTGGAAGAGGAGGCCACCGGGCAAATTTGACGGTGGCAGAAAGGGAAGAAGAAGCTGAGATGATCTTCACTGATGAAGATCAGGCGCTCTTGGCAGCACTAAGGAGGAAACAGAGAGCAGTAGGTGATGTGTCTGAGGGGGTATCTACTACTTTCTCTGAAGGAGACTATGCCAATTACGCCCTTCGTGCACACCAAAATGAGGGAAGATCCACCGCCTGGATAATGGATTCGGGAGCATCCAGACATGTGACGGGAAGTGCCAGTGAGTTCTCATCTTACACTCGCTTGGCAGAAGCAGAGAGCATCCAGATCGCTGATGGTACAGCACAGGCTGTGGTTGGTAAGGGCACCGTTAGTTGTACAGGTTCTATAACTTTATCTAATGTTCTGCATGCTCCTTCATTTCCTGTTACTCTGTTATCCATTAGTGCCATTATCCTCCAATTAAATTGTATTGTTTTTTTTGACATTCCCAAGGTGATCTTCCAGGAGAAGGGGACAGGACGAAGACTTGGGACTGGGACATGGCGTAGCGGGTTATGGTACCTGGACCGCAAAGGGATGGACTCAGCGTTGACATCTGTGATTGAGAGGACGGGAACAGGAGGAGCTGAAGTGTGTGCAGAAGATGAGTTGATACTCTATCATCAACGAATGGGACATCCATCATTCGGTATCTTGGGGAAAATGTATCCAACTCTATTTAAAAAAGTAAATAAGCAGAAGCTTCAGTGTGATGCTTGTGAGTTTGGAAAGCTTACTAGAAGCTCTTATGCTAGTTCGGGTAGTAGGAGTTCTTGTAAGTTTGAAGTAATACACTCTGATGTATGGGGACCCTGTCCAGTAAACTCTATAAATGGATGCAAGTTTTTGGTTACATTTATTGATTGCTTCTCTAGAATCACTTGGTTGTATCTTATAAAAAATAAAAGTGATGTAGTTGGTTGCTTCAAAGATTTTCATAAGCACATCCAGACTCAGTATTGTGCAGTGGTAAAAGTGTTGAGGTCGGATAATGGGACAGAGTATACCAATAGATCACTTGAGGAGTATCTGTCAGCTCAGGGGATTATACACCAGACTACATGCCCATACACCCCAGCTCAGAATGGGGTAGCAGAGAGGAAGAACAGACATCTCCCCATACACCCCAGCTCAGAATGGGGTAGCAGAGAGGAAGAACAGACATCTCCTAGAAGTTGCTAGAAGTATGATGATAGCGATGAATGTCCCAAAGATGTTGTGGGGACAAGCAGTCTTGACTGCTGCTCACTTAATCAACAGGATGCCTTCGAGTGTGTTAGAATGGAAGTCACCTCGTGAGACACTGAAGGGAGATAACGTGGGGGTCCTATCATTGAAGGTATTTGGTTGTGTGTGCTTTGTGAAGGACAACAGACCATCAGTTGGGAAGCTAGACCCTAGGGCTGTGAAGTGTATATTTGTGGGATACAATGGTACCCAGAAAGGGTATGTCTGCTGGAGCCCGGTGAAGAAAAGGTTGTTTGTTAGTATGGATGTGCGGTTTCGGGAGCTCGAGCCGTACTACACAGTGGGGGTTACCTCACATTTTGGTGACTTGCCTGATACTGGAGGTATGAGGCGAGAGGGGGAGAATGATGAGAGCTCAAAGGGGTCAATCCCAATTTCGATTCCGTACTCAGAGGAGAAGGAGGATGAGGACGAAAGGGAGGAGGAGATAAGGGGTGTTAGGCCTACAGCTCAGGGGGAGTTGCTTACATACAGTAGGAGGGGTAAGGAGCCAGAGGTGCCTAAAGTCCCTACAGTGCTAGTGCCTAGTCCCTCGTCTAGTTCTGCTCCAACTCCTGAGACACTGACACTATCCTCCACTTCAGGTAATACCATTCATACTTCTACCCCTCTTCCCACGCCAATATCAGTAAGGAGGACTACTCGTAGTAATGGGGGAAATCCTCCTGAGAGATATGGTTGGGATCTATCTCAATTTGTTTCTTATTCTCACATATCCCCTTCACATGGAGCATTCATTGCATCATTAGATTCTGTTATTATACCTAACAACTGGCAGGATGCTAAGAAGGATCCAAAGTGGAAGGCAGCTATGCATGAGGAGCTGGGGGCCCTTGAGAAGAACCACAGGTGGGAGTTAGCAACACTGCCAGCAGGAAAAAAAATAGTGGGATGCAAATGGGTGTTTGCCGTGAAGCAGAACCCAGAAGGGAAGGTTGAACGATACAAGGCTCGACTAGTGGCAAAAGGGTATAGCCAGACATACGGCATTGACTACGATGAGACTTTTGCACCAGTGGCGAAGATGAGCACGGTTCGGACATTGATTTCTCTGGCAACAAATGGTGGATGGGAACTACACCAACTGGATGTGAAGAATGCGTTTCTTCATGGAGATCTAGTGGAAGAGGTGTATATGGAGATACCACCTGGATGTAGCACAGGACAAACAGTGGGTAAGGTCTGCAGGCTGAAGAAGTCTCTGTATGGACTGAAGCAGTCCCCTCGAGCATGGTTTGACAGGTTCAGGAGAGCCATGATTGGTATGGGATACAGACAGATAAATGCCGACCATACTGTATTCTTCAGAAGTAGTGGAGGTCACATCACTATGATGGGATACAGACAGATAAATGCCGACCATACTGTATTCTTCAGAAGTAGTGGAGGTCACATCACTATGTTGGCAGTGTATGTGGATGACATGATCATCACAGGAGATGATGAGAAGGAGATTGCTCAGCTCAAGGTAAGATTGAGCAAAGAATTCGAAGTGAAGGATCTGGGTCAGCTTCGATACTTTCTTGGGATAGAGATAGCTCATGGGCCTAAGGGGATTGTTCTCTCCCAGAGGAAGTATGCACTGGATCTTCTTGCAGAGACGGGGATGTTAGGGTGCAAGCCTGCTGCTACACCGATTGATCAGAGTTTCAGACTGAGTGCTGAGGCAGGGGAACCTATTGATCGTGAGAGATATCAGAGATTAGTGGGTAGACTGATCTACCTGAGTCACACACGTCCAGACATCTCATTTGCGGTAAGCGTGGTGAGCCGCTACATGCATGACCCGAGGAAGAACCATATGGATGCAGTATACCAGATACTAAGGTATCTGAAGGGTGCTCCTGGCAAAGGACTAAGATTCAGGAGGAGTGGCCACGTGAACATTGAGGGCTACTGTGACTCAGATTGGGCTAGCTGCGGAGATGATCGGAGGTCTACCTCGGGGTATTGCATATTTGTAGGAGGCAACTTAGTCTCCTGGAAAAGCAAGAAGCAATCTGTGGTGGCGAGATCAACAGCTGAAGCAGAATACAGAGCCATGGCCTTAGGAGTTGCGGAGTTGATGTGGCTGAAGAACATGCTGGTGGAGCTGAACCTTGACCAATGGGCCAAGATGAGTTTGTGGTGCGACAACAAGTCAGCTATCAGCATCGCCAACAACCCAGTTCAACATGACAGGACTAAGCACATTGAGATTGATAGATTCTTCATCAAGGAGAAGCTGAACAGTGGGTTACTGGAGTTAGGCTATGTTCCAACTAAGGAGCAGGCTGCAGACTGCTTGACTAAAGGGCTTAGCTCAGTAGACCTAACTAGAGGATGTGACAAGATGGGCTTAATAGATATATTTCGCCCATTTTGAGGAGGAGTGTTGAGAATGTAATGCAATTAAAGAGTTTTAGGGGGCTTTTGTGTAAACGTGTGTGTAAGGCTATATAAGCCAACAATTCTATCAATGACAAGAGACTTTGAAGCCCTAATTTCTCAATAGCTTATACCATGCACCAGGGAACGTTTACATTCTAGGTTCTGTTGTTAAGTGTAGGAATCAGAGGTTTTGCAAGACTCAAATATAAGAATTGCTAGTTGATATCAGTAACGGTAGAACCCTGAGAATCATGTTGCAAATAAGGTATACATACTTTATTATCTTAATTCCTCACATATTTTGTTGTTTATTCTTCTGAAAAAGAGTTATTTTTTTCAAAAATTTAACTGGTTTGCAATCTTAATCAGTCCTTATAGTTGGTGAATCGAGTCTTGTTCCACCGTGAATCCGAGACAATTGAATCCAGGTCTTGGTGCACTATAGCATCCCACATTCCCGACTTCTATGGTTTTGAATTTATAGTTTGTTATCTTATCCTTATTTGGTGTTATAATATGTTTAATTTTGATCAAAATATTTTTACAGCATTGTACCCAATATTTAAGCACCCAAAATGTTCCATTTTAGGTTGGGTGCAAAGTAAGCATGTACCTCAGCATCAAATCTTTCACTAGGTGCATAATTTTATAGCTTTATTGAAAAGTTTGAAGTAGAATGTTGCTCAACCGGAAGACATTATTAAAGAATTTCCCATCCATTCATTGTATTGCAAATTCATAATACTTCTATATGTTACTTTCAGGTGCGATCTTTGACACTTGATGTCAAAGTGTGGGAACCTTCTGTTATTAATCTATTTCAGTCACTGGGTAATACTTTTGCCAACTCCATATGGGAGGAATTGTTACCCTCAACAAGTAACGAAAAATTAACAGATAGTTCCAAGTAAGGCTACACAGTGATATGATGACAAAGTTATACTTTTGGGCTGTAGGTGCTTCTATGGTATTAAATGTTCTTTTATATTTTTCAAATATGTGCAGTTTACATCAAAAACAGCAACAAATATCTACCACGAAGCCCAAGCATACTGACCCTATTTCAATAAAGGAAAATTTCATTAAAGCGAAGGTATGCAAGAGAATCATATATGTTCAATCAAACTTAATCTCTGTATGCTTGTAGTATAATGTATGATTGTGCATAAATATCTGATAATTGTTTCTATTCCTTCAGTATGCAGAGAAGGTTTTTCTTCAGAAATCGAAAGCAGATCCCAACTGTTTATTGGCGATGTGGGATAATGTTCGTACCAACAACAAGAGAGCTGTATACCAGCATATTATCACTTTAAATGCTGATGTAAATGCTATCTATGGACAAACATCGTCTAATTCTTCCTTAACTCTTGCAAAAGCCATGCTTCTTCAAGAGCAACCAACTTCAACATTAGGTCGAAGTACTAGTTGTACTGTTGGGGACTCCAAACACAAGGCTTCTTCCATCAGCTCTTGTAACCCGGCGAGAAATGCTGATGAGAGAAATAACATGGATGAATCTTTTGAGGGCTGTTCATTACTACATCTTGCTTGCCAAACTGCAGATATTGCCATGGTAGAACTACTTTTACAGTATGGTGCCAATGTAAATGCTGCTGATTTGAACGGCAGGACGCCACTTCATCATTGCATTATCAAGGGCAGGAATATTTTTGCGAAGTTGCTAATTTCCAGGTAATTTCTATACCTTTCATTGATTCTATTAGTAAAATGAGTTGACAGCTCATACCCATTTTTCCTAATTAAAGATAGTGTTAGATTATAAGACTATAACAGTCAACCCTCACCAACAACTTGAGTTTTGGTGAAATGGCACGGACCTTTGACATGAAACCTAAGCAATCCGGGTTCAAATCTTGTTGGCCGTCAATTTTTTAAGCAGATTTAAAGAAAATAGATACTACTACATGAATCAAGCTTTTCAGCCCATGAAAGGGCGCTTAACTTGCGCAGGCATGTGTGAGTATTAAGACTATAGTCCTCGATCCTCACCACAACTCACTAAGTGTTGGTGCAGAGGCAATGACCTTTGACATATAGAATTGAATATGGATTGGTTTAGACCCTAAATACCATGATGGATAAGTCATTGGACCTTTAGCTTCTACCTATGTTGCATGGGTATGGGTACCTATACGGACACGCCAAATTTGTAAAATGTATGATGCAGGGACCTGGCTATATAAATATTTATATATACATATAATATATATTGGCATTAATAATTTATATGAGAGCAAGGATGAGAATTAAAATTCCTATAACATTTTTCTCTTTCTTTTATTATGTGGATCATAAATTGGAAAATCACTAGTTTCTGAACCAAACATCCAAATGATCCTTCAAAATCATAATTCGGACCTATGTCCAATGTGTTTCAAGAAGTGGATGTGTAGGATATATGTCCAGTAAATGTATGCCAAGTGTTTTAAATTAAAACATGTATTATATAATTGAGTACATGCCCGAATAAATATATGCATATATGCAAGGAATGTCCAAGGAGTTTGGGTATAGGTATGGATAGGGGTACATGTCGGTTATGGGTACGGCTTGAGATTAGAAGTACCTAGGTAACATAGGCCTCTAGATTCCTTCCAACCTCCTTTTGATACTGCAATCTTACGCAACCCTGTTTATGCTTCCTGAAATTGTTTTGACATGAATATCAGTAACAGGAACAAGTTAGATGTATGAGCATCATAATTCACTTATCATCAAACAGTAATTATGTAGGGCCAACAATACACACAAACTGTCGCATTTCTGAACGAGCATCGTGAAATCGCAGGATCTAATATATGATTTAATATAGGGAAAGTGGCTTTAACATTCTATGTGAAATGTCCCTCTACCAAAGTGCATTTTGAAGTTGCGTAAACAAAACATCATGCATTTTAAGGCCACTTAGCCATGCATCAGGCATTTGCTAATTGTATTTTATCCATCAGTATAACTAATTATATCTCATGAATCACATGTCCTCTTGAGTGTTTTTTTAATCACTTAAGCATCCAAAACAGTATCAGTATTTATGATTTGATGTTTGTAGAACATCCAAAACGTATTCTCAAAATAAATGGGTTGGCATCTACTTTAAGAGGACATCATGATTTTACGATTACGGAACTTTTCGATAGCTAAATTAGTTATACCTTTGGGGGTACTAAATGTCGTTCTCTACTATTTTCCTACCCAGCAAGATCGTCGAACCCAAATGTAAAAAAGAATATATTATTTCTCCTTCTAAGTACTAATAACTAAACTTCTGGATTGATTGACGAGGAAAAGGTTTAAAACTTGGCATTTTTCCTGCAACATAATAGAGATATTGTCCATGAAATTTTAGATATTTCTTGTGGAAAGTAATTCTGAAGTATGTACAGCATATAGATTTAATTTGTCTAATTCTTTTAACACAGGGGAGCGGACCCGCACGTCGTTGACAAGGATGGTAAGACCCCATTACAGTATGCATTGGAGAGTGGAACCATTGACAATGAAGAGATTCTTGTTCTTTTAGAGGATACAAAGATATAGTATTATGAAATGGCCAGAATATATAGTAGAGAAGGAAAAAAGGGTTGTTTCTTTCCTCAATTGTAGGCATTACTTTTGGGGTTCTGTTGTAGCATAAGATGTCTGTTTATTTATCTCCGGTTTGGTTTTGATTTAATGTATGTGAGCCCTGTACATTGCCTTTTCTATTAATCTAACAGAAGTGCTAGAAGCTTTTCTCTTCTTTTCTCGCTTTTTGTCTTAGCTTTGATGAGAAAACTTGTTTCGGGAGGGTATATATTTCCTTGGTAAAAAGCACTTTTGAGTATGAAGGGTAGTATATTTATCGTCTTCAGTCATTTCAGAATTCTAACTATTACCATACTCCCTTTAAAAGAGGGAGTTATGGAAAAAAAAAATTATGGACTATATTGCCCTTATTCCTTTTTTGATACTATATTCTAATCATAAATTAACTAAATTAATTATCATTATTAATTAATCATATTACATCCCACTTTAATTTTGTCTTGACCTTAAAACTTCCAATGTTATTATAAAACTCTTACATTAATTATTAAATAATGCATAATTCTATATTAATAGACGATTGCAAGTTAATAAATTATTTTGGAAGGAGTAGAAAATATAGAATTGTCCTAAAATTATACCATGCCACTCACATAGGAAAATTATAAAGAGTATTCTTGCATATATAAGTACAAACATGTAATTTTAGAAAATATTAGGATATTTAAGTGCATTAAGATATAAATGGAGGTATATGAGTGTTAGCTGTAAGGTATTTAAGTTTAATTAAGTCTAAAGATTTAAAGTCTTTGTTAACCACAAGCAATAGTATGTGATCTCTTTGATAAATAATATTCATCATATAATACGAGGTCAGAGTCTTAGCTTATATTTATATAATACAAAAGATGTGGAAAAATTTAAGCATCATATTTGGAATTAGTCTCAAGATTTTGAATTATAAATAAAATTATATACTTCATTCAGAATCATATCGCTTTAAAAGAGGAAGTTGTAGAAAAACTTTCTATGGACTATATTACCCTTATTTTTTTAGATATTATATTCTAATTCTAACTAAACTAAATTAATTATTATTGTTAATTAAACATATTATATGCCACTTCAAGTTTGTCTAACTTGATCCCTAAAACTTCTAATGTTATTGTAAAACTCTTATATTAAGTATTAGTAATGTCTAATAATATATTAATAGACAAGTGCATGTTAATAAATTATTAATGGAAAGTGTAGAAAATATAGAATTATCCTAAAATTATACCATTATATTCATATAGGAAAATTACAAATAGTATACTTGTGTATAGAAGGTACATACATGCAATTTTAAAAAATATTAGGATATTTAAGTGCAGCAATATACAAGTGGAGGTATGTAATTGAAAGTTTTATAAACCGTAAGGTAGTTAATATAATTAAGCCAATAAAGATTTAAAGCCTTTGTTAACCACAAGCAATAGTATATGATTCATTTGATAAATAATATTCATCATATAATATGAGACCAGGGGGTTAACTTATATTTATAGACTAGAGGAGATGTGGGAAAATTAAAGCATCACATTTTGAATAATCTTAAGATTTTGAATTATTTCTAAATTTATATACTTTGCTTAGAAAACTTTAGAGGCTTTCGAAGGACTACTACAAAGTGTTGGGCATCATACAAATGTTGGACAAAATCCATGATATTGGATTGCAATACGGGGTTATGTAAAAAATATATGGGTGTCATATGAGATAATGTTGATACATGATATAACATTGTAATCTATAATCTCAGATATTGATGAATTTTCAACATAAGAATTTGCATCAAATGCTTAAAATTTGGGAGAGCTGAGAGTGGAGAGATTTGGGATATGGATTGTGGCTTTTATGACTTGTGCTTTAGTTTTGGTTTCCAAACATGACCTAGTACCAAGCCCACAATCAAATTAAAAACGACTCGATTTTGTTATACCAACCAATATTTTCGATAATGATCGATATATGAGAAAAAAATCCCTAAATAAAAGAAAACAATATAAAACCATAAATATTATCAAGATAAAGTAGTTAACCTTTTATATCAGTCGATATAGCGATATATCGGTCGATATTTCATATATTGCCTATAAGAGCAATATTTAAAGGTTATTTAGATATCATTTCCTTGATTTTAAATCTCCAATAATTCTACATTATTCCCTTAAAATTTTGAAATTGCTTATAATTTAGGGACTAATATTGAGTTATAAAATATTAAAATATTTGAGGGACAAATATGTAAATAAGCTAAATCTAAAAGAATAGTTAATTTTTTTAAAACTCTCTCAAATTTGGGGATTGTCTCAAAAAAACAACTTAACTAATTTAATTTGATAGAGCCCCCTAACTATAGAGGTGTTGTAGATAACCCCTCTCAATTTTGGTGCGATTTTAGAAAACACTTTTCGACTTAGCGTGTCTCATAAAACTCTCCTAGCCTTTTACACATCTCTTAACAAACCCCTTAATGTAAAAGACTTTAATATGTGATTTTGTCAAAATGTCTTGTTGAAGAAAGCCATTTTAGTTAAAAAGAAACTCTCAACCGATAATAAAAAGATTACGACCAATTTATAGTTCTTTTTACCTCTAAATCTTTACTTTTTCTTTCATCTAGCAAGAACCAAGCTAATCCTTTTATAGTTGAGGAATATTTTGGTTCAAATACTTATCACATAATGAATTCGACTCAATGATATTAGTTTTGAGGGGTTAATTGAGAAAAGTTCATAAGGTTAAATCAAAATTTTGAAGTTGGGATAGATTAACTACAACACCCCAAATTTGACGAACAAAGATTTACTCATTTCAAGTAGTTGAAGGGGGGAGGGATTTTTAACATTTCTTCCATAGTTGAGCTGAAGTTTTCTAAAATTAACCCTTAAACAAAGTACAATTTAAGACACATGTGACATCAATCTTATAAGAGTGGATTTTATAGCAAATCTATCGGTATCTCTGAAAATCTTTTGCTACAAAATTCGCAGGGAGAAATTTGATCTTTATTTGAGATAGCTATGTGATCGTTATGGTTCTCCTTATCTTTTATGATTCATAATAAATTATTTAACAAAATAAATTAAGTTGTTCATTCTATATGTCTCACGTTTATGAAGCATATAGTTTGGATATGAGTGTTATCAGATTCGTTTAACTCTTTAACCTAAAATTTCGGATATTATTCAATATTGGATAGACCTAAATTATTTTGTTAAAATAAAATCCATATGTGTACAAAATATGTTTAAATCATTCTCAGATTATATTTTATGGTTTTCTAAAATTAGAGAGTAATCATTTTGACAAATTAATTAATTAGTTGAGGAGATGTAGGAAGATTATAATATCAGATTTTAGAATTGATCACATAATTTATATTTTCTTCCTTGATTGAATTTGCACATTCTAACTTTAAAAATTCTTGAAAAAGTTTTTGAATATCTATAATACTCGGTCGTCAGATATTAGAAAGTGGAAGTAGACAATAGGTGCGAGTGATTTCTTTATAATTAAACAAATCCTCTATGACCAAATAAAACCTACCATTTTACGTTGATGTATTCAAGATTTATTTTTTTCATTAATAATAATAGTTTTTTATATATTGGTGCTTACATCATTAATATTTTAAATTAGAATTTCAAATCATTAAATTGATCATTAATATTTTAAGAATTTAAACCTCACTAATTAAGTGGAAGGTAAAGTGTTGAAACCAACAAGATTTTATATATTGAAAAATATGAAACTTTTTCATATATTATGATAATCATAAACTTTGTTACAACTATGTTATAGTAAATACATAAACTAAAAATCAACCAGTATAATATTTGACCACGTGCATTCCAACTAGTACCCTAAAAATCACAAGTTTGATAAGCCCTTAAGAATTGGCCACGTGTCAGTCAGTTGGGTCGGATAGTGTGACCACAAAACCCGACCCGATTAAAGACATGACCCGATCAAACAAGCCGATCCCTCCAACAGTCCAAGTCAAAAGGCATCTTCCGGACGAAATATACTAGAAAGAGCCCAAGTCTAAGTCGAAAGGCATCTTCAGATTGGACTTTGCCAAAGAGCATCTGTCTCGAGTCAAGGAAGGAAATATCTGATTGCCACGTCAACACTGCCTGCATTAAATGCACAACCAAGCGTCATGATGACTCCTCGGATGACGCCTATAACTTCATTGCCCTGTCACTATCACATTAAATGCAGTGTTGGCGGCCCTTCATACTTGCCCAACCGACTGTTAACATGTATAAAGCGGAAGTAAAACATCAACTTTGCTAGTCAGATCAAATTATTGATTTGACCCTACACTCTCCTATAAATAAATGTTGCGCCCACCATTATAAGCTCTAGACTATCTAAACCCTAAGCTTGATCCTACATTTGCTCTTCATACTGAGTTTATCAATCATCGACTTGAGCGTCGGAGGGCACGTGAGTGCAAGGGTTTGCTTTGTCTAGTTTATCAGCCACCAAACGAGATTAAAGACCCCTAATCTTCTCATAATACCACCCTACCCATAATTTTACTTTCAGACATAAACACTAACAGATAAGAGTCATCGGTAACTACCTTGAAGGATCTCTTGGAGTGAAAATAGAATTGCATTCAAACTTTCAAAAGTCACAATTTCAGTTGTTAGCTTTCTTTGCTGGTAATGTATCAATTGTGTTTCTTTGCTTGTAGCAGGCTATTAAGAAACATTGTATTGCAAAGTATTAAGGTGTAGAGAAGAAAAATAACGTGTACATATACAGATTGGAACCTTCATAGCATTCTTCATGTACGCATTCATTCAGAGATGGATGAAGAAAGAAAAATTATGAACAATTCCCAGTGTGATCTCTCTCTGTCAAACAGGTAGCATAAATATTGTGGATAAATAGACAGTAGATATTTCATTTGCCATATGAAAGTGATATAGACAATAAGACAACTTCATTCTGATCACAGAAAAACAACGGTCATAATTATGGAAGAGAACAGGAAGCTGCTACAAACCAAACAATTATCAGGTAAGACAATAAACAATAAGCATAAAAAAATTCAAAATCTCATAAAAGAACCATATCTTATCCTTGAATAACCTTGATCCTCATTTTCGCTTCATTTTGTTAAGAATAAAGTTTTTGGGAGAGAAGAGACTATTTTATTCATTGCACTGAAGTGTTTAAACATAAAAGCAAAAGAAGAGGTTTTAGTATTCTAAGCGATATGAGACTAAAAGAAAGAGACACAATATGCCTAATAACTATATTTAACACCCGATCAAACTCATGGTCGCTAGAGAACCAAGAGTTTGGACAGGACGAGCCAAATTTGTATAGATAGCTATTGGCATAGCTTGCCGGGATGTGGTTGAATTGGAACACATCGATGGCTAGAATTGCAGGCAATGAGATCATGTTATTGCAGTGGTGATCGACAGTCACACACGGTGGGGTCGAGAGGGCGGACTTGTAGTCACGGTATGAGGCCCGGTGACTGGATCTTGCAGGCCGTAAGGTATGATATTGCAGCAGTGAACAACGGTCATGCATGGTGGTTTGCGAGAGGGTGGACCTGCGGTCGCAAGAGGAGGCACAGTGACTGGATCTCGCAAGCATCAGTGAGAGGAAAGCGTTTGGCTGGAGAGAGCTTAGCTAGAGGCTGGCCAAGGAGCGAGAAATCTCGCTAAGGCAATTTGTCGAGTACCTTGTGTGTATGTGATGAATAGTTTGTGCAATTACACCAATCGGAGCAGCGGTGGTGTTGGCAGGCAGAGGTTTGTCGTGGAGGAACTGCTAGGATTACGCAAGGCTAGAGTTTGCAATGGTAGAGTTTGGACAATGGTTGAAGCTGCAAGGATGATGACGAGCAGCGGGTCCGACCTGGTCGAAGCTGATCAACGACGACGAGGGTTATCCTTGGGTGTAGTGGCAGCCAAGAAGAGGTTGTTGTTGAAGTTGGTGGCGAAGTAGTGAGGTTCAGGATGAACAGTAACTCGGATAGGATATTAGACCGTGGGTGAACAGTACCCTCTTGGATGAACAGTGCGTTTGGCAAAGGTTAGGGATAGAGTTTTGTAGTGCGCAAAGGACAGTGAGAAGTTGTGAGCGATGGTGCAATGCATCAAGTTTCAAGGCCGCCGAGCGGAAGCGCAAAGGTTAGAGCAGAAGGCAATGAGAGGTTGTGAGAGATGGGGCAGTGCGTCAAGTTTGAATCCGGTTTCAAGGCCACTGAGCTGAAGGGTGGAGTTTTCAACAAAACCCCTCGGTGGTCGATGTAGAGGAAGAAGAAAGATGTCTCTCTCAGATAAAGAGGATAAATCTGATACCATGTTAAGAATAGAGCTTTAGGGAAAAGATGAGACTATTTTATTCATTGCGCTGAAGTGTTTAAACTCAAAAGGATGGCTATCCTAAGCGATGTGGGACTAAAAAAAAGAGACACGATATGCCTACTAACTATACTTAACACATTTTGGGGTCGGATTCACTTGTTACATGGATCCAATCCATCAAAAATCTGACCCGTTAACAGACCTAAAATATCACCTTATCCATTCACAGATATTTTGCCATCCTCTAGATAGGGAAAGGCTCCTTATCCAACCAACTCATGAAACTTCTATAAAAAGCAAACGCTCAATCTTGCAGCCTCAAAGAGAAAAATAATCAAGGAGCTAACCTTCAAAATGCAAGCAACAACTGTGTTCTTAAGTGAATCATTACCCTTTAAAGCTGGCTTCAAGAGCTTGGTAGTGCCAAAAATATTAGCAAAGCCTCAAAGAACAGTAAGCTTTTCTATGGTTGTAGCTGCTTCAGCCAAGGAAACCTCCACTGTGGACTACAGTTCGACAACATCGTACGTATTTAATTGCGGATAGACCCCCGTAGTATGGTTGTTTTGAACTTACTATCCCTCTAGTTTTATTTCTATAGTCGACTCGGCGGCGCAATTCACTTAAAAACTTAAAAAAAAAAAACATTTTTTCTCTTCATCTAATAGCCATGGTTCGCATTTTTTCCCAGTGTTTTTCCGGCAGAAGCCTGTGATACAATAGGAGGAGAAGCCTGCAGCGTTGACATGTTTCCAGAGGCAAAACCTGAAACACCAATTACCAACACCAAAGCAAATGTGAGCTCAGAGGAGGTTGAAAGAGATTACATGGAGTACAGTGAGCCGAAAACGTAAGATACTATAATATTCATAATTGACACACAAAAAAATACCAAAAAGAAAGAAAAAGTGACTCAATTAAATTCTTTGAATATAATTGATGTAGGGTGTTCCCTGGTGAGGCCTGTGATGATCTTGGTGGAGAATTCTGTGAGCCAGAGTATCAGAAGGGTGTTTTTGTAGAGAATGCATGATATAGATAAAGGGATGTCTCATTGTGTAATGTTAGCACTAAATGAATGTATAAATATTCTGATGTATAATGAGTCACAAAGCAATATCTGTGTTGTCCACAGCAAGTATTTATGTTCTAATTAGCCTTTTCTTTTACTAATTAAATATATAATGGCTTTTCATATGATATCATAAAAATTATTATAAACTTTATGAAACTGGTAGTCGCAACCATTAGGGATTCTAGCAGAATTACCTCTATAGGAGTAGGGTGATCTACATCATAAATAGAAGAGTAGTAATTGTCTAACTAATCCTCTAACCAAATGTGAATAATATCGATCACCCCTTTTTATGTGGTGTTCTGATAGAATCCTCACGCTCGGGTAACTGTATTTTAGGTATTTTTACAAACTATCATATGCTTTGTGACAACATGTGATAGTTTTATGCTGATTTGAGATTTCACTATAGTTTCATCAAGTTTCTTTGCAACGATTTTAAAGAAAATTCTAATAATTAATGATAATTTGTGAGATTTACGCTAATTTCAAATAGGTTGCTCTCGATAGTCTTCAAAATCTTTCATATCAGCATATATTGAAATAAGACATTTAAATCTTTTAAGTGTTTTGAAATAAGCCTCCAAATCTTATAACTAGTTGCTCAGTAGAAGCATTAATTTCAAAAAAAAAAACAAGAGTTTGAAAACTAATTTCAAAATATAAGCATGGGCTTTCATATAATCTCACAAAAATTATTATAAACTTTACAAAACTGTTGCCCATAACCAGTAGGGATTCTATCAGAACTATCCCGATAGGAGTAGGATGATCTACACAATAAATAGAAGACTTGTAATTGCCAAACTAACCCTCTAACCAAATGTGAATGATATGGATTGCCCTTTCTATATGGTGTTCTGATAGAATCCTCGCTCACGGGTAACTATCATATATTTCAGATATTTTCACAAACTACTGTATGCTTTGTGATAAGTTGTGATAGTTTTATGCTGATTTGAGATTTCACCGTAGTTTTATCAAGTTTGTTCATAACGATTTTATAGAAAATTTTAATAGTTAATAATAATTTAGTGAGATTTGTGCTAATTTCAAATAGGGTTTTCTCAATATTAGTCTCACAAATGTTTAGTATCTGCATATGTTAAAATAAGGCATTCAAATCTTCTAATTGTTTAGAAATAAGTCTCCAAAATGCTCACTAGAAGCACTAATTTTTAAATAAATAAAAAAAGCAAGAGTTTTTTTTATGAAAAAAAAACTTGGAGACCTGGGTGATCTGATTCAAAATATGAAGATGTGGGGGACTAATATGGAAAAAAGCCATTCAAAATCTCCACGCGTCTCGAAGGCACAGTCTCCAAAGCAAACCCGTGAGAGGAAACGAGACACAACGCCACCACAAATATCTCGAGATTAGGGTTTCTCCGCCCCCCATCGATCTTGCTTTCACGAGCCTCAGATCGCCCTCCGATGATCTGACCGCAAGCGCGTCTCCGCCGTAGAAGGTTAGGATCCTCCGCCGCCTCTTGAAGAGGGAGGTGATCGGACTCTTTGTCCTTGGAAATTAGCTCACCGGTTGCTTTGTGTCTCGTTTCAGATGTCGAGGACGATAGCGAGAGACCTCGCCCCCCAAGGTCACATTGAGCGGCTAACTTGCCCCAAACTTGTTCATTTGATGTAAAATTTGATGAACTTTAGCGCCTTGTTAGGTAATTTTGACTACATTCAAAGGGATCCCTTGTTTTCTTTGCTAATTTCTT